ATTGTCTACCTCTTGCTCTCTTACCCTAGACCTTTCCCTCAAGTATGGTTTTTAAAAGAGTTATATCTTTTAATGTGGCTAAAATATTTCTTTTGCAGTGATCTTAACATGTCCTCCCTCCCTGTCTCAAACTACATAAACTTCCATAGTTAATCATCATCACAAAATTAGGGCAAGAATTTCTATTTGCTTACTTGTTTATTGAGGAGCATATATTGAGCAGTTAGAACTCTGACCTCTTATTCAGGATCTCTTGGGTGAAATACCTGGTAAAAGGATGAGATTTTTTCAAGGCACACTTTGTGGTGTCTTTACTAACCATGTAACTTGAAGTCAGGCTAAAAATTACCCTCCCATCTTTCCTAACGCCATATATATATATATATTCCTATGCCTGCTTTCTGATTCCATTAACATGCTTAAGAAGATCAAGACAGAGTGGGTCCAGACAAAAAAGTATCTTCTGACAGGATTCAGGTTGGGCTGAGTTCTCAGTGCACTCAAGAAGCAGGCAGGACAAGTAGATGATTCAGGAGACAGTGGTGAACTGACAACCTTGACAAGACTACAAGAACTTCATGTCAATAATGGTGTTGCTAGACATATTGAAAGCTATACAGGTAGCCAAAGAAGAATAGTCAGCCAACACAGAACTGGTGTTATCAGTTGCCGCACACTGATGGAGATAATGAAGATGGTTTCTGAGCACTCATGGACTATTAACTAACTTTCTAACTTAGTTCACTCAGTCAGTTTATTAAAGATTTCAGTGATAAAATATAAACAAATATAATATTTATGTTAAGTTGTTTTAACATTTATTGTTACTCCTGATCAGAGGTTTTTGTGTCTGCACTCGGCTCAAGCAGACGTTGATTATTCATTGGTAATGATTAGATTTTTTTTAGAATAAGAAGAATTAGGCTATACTCCACCTGAATCCAGAGGATCTGATTTCCAGCCTTCTCGTTCAAGGGAGAACAACTCAGAGTACATATGTAAATGTTAAAAATTGTTGCCTTAAGCAGACTGCACTGTATTTGGATCCTTGCTGGTGCCTCAGAGTTCAAGCTAAGACTCCTCTTGTGCATGTTCCATCTGAAGAACTTGAGCTTTTTGTTTATCTGTTTGCAGTTGAAGTGCTTCTTTACAAACCAAACAAAAGTAGACATATGGTAATTGCTCTTGATTAGTTTGGGTACATATTCTCTACAGTGCTTGTTCATGTACTCATCTACAGGGTTGTGATGTGTCTTCTACTATGTGGTCACTAGCTCAGTTTTATGCCGATAGATCACTTCAACAATTTATCACTGGTCAGCTGTCAGTTTCTGCAGCTTTAGGACCAGGTCAGAGGCAGATCATGCAGTACCTGGAGCAACTGTATAAAGCCTATCCGTGTTCGTCTTTCAGTACTGCCATGAAAAGCAAAGTGGAGGATAAGAATGGGTTAGTAAATCTTTTTTCTAGCAATCCTCCTCCTGTTCCTGCTTCACTTGCTCTTCCTGAATCTGCTTCCTCTCCTTCCTCCTTTCCTCCTTATCCTTCCTCTTCTACCTCTACATTATTCTTTCTATACTCACTGTCCTTCTCCTCTAATTTTGTTTCTCCTCCTTTTCCTCCACCTACTTCACTTTTGTCTTCACCTGGTATCCCTCAGTATAATTTTACTCTCTCACCCTCCTCCTCCTCCTCAGCTTCCTCTTCCTCCTCAGCTTCCTCTTATTCTTTCTCACAACATTCTTCATGTTCTTTTTATTATTTGCCTCCATTTTCATTTTTGCATTCAAGGTTAAAAAAAAAATAGCCATTACTGCTTGTATTTACCACTTTCACGGCGTATAGTCTTTGTGCTTGATGATTTAGGGCTGCCTGGCTAGAGCTGTTGCCATGGTTTGTGCAGCTAAGAATTTTATTTTTACTCCTGACAGCAAAAATCCACAGTCTTGGCAAGGATTTGAACCTGGGTCTTTCACATGTGAGCCCAGCCCTCTTAAGCATTTGACCATTCACTGCTCATGTGCAGGCACATAGTTTTATCTTTTTTTCAATTTTCTGTACGATATGTAAGAGTTGAAGTAGGTACAATACCTCCAGTTATACTAGTAGGGAGAGCATAATATATTCTTTTCTTGGTGAAATAGTAAATTAAAAGTAAGGTAAAAGGCCCTTTTCCATGCTTCCAGTTATATAGTGCTCGACCTATATCTGTCATAATAAATAACTGTTAATGTGTTTGGCTTTCAATTCTTCTAGGACCTGGCCTGACTTTGAAGATCCTTTACAAGAAACAGTTTTTGCCAGTGACACATTTCTGCTCTCTCACTGTGGAGAGCTGACACAGGAGAATAATTCTAATTCACCTGGACACCGTAATGATCTTTATGTTGCACTTCTTCTAGCCTGGTTAACAAAATGGACAGAAGATATGAAACAAGCTGTCATGTTGGATGCCAGTTTTCTCTCATCAGGTACTTTCCTCCCCTTACGTTGAGATAATTAAAAATGAAATTAACATGCATTTCTTTTAGAAACTTTTTTTTTAAATGGGGAAAATGAATGGATTTACATAATTACAGGTGAATAAATACAGAGTGCTACAGTAAATCGATGGTCTGGTGCTTACCTAGCATATGAAGACAAATACCATTTTTTTTAAATAATCAAAATCCCAGCTCTGCAGGCTGCTTCATGTAGGCTTCTACAGGCGCAGCCCATTATGAGTGAAAGGCTAGATATATAGAAGTGAGTTTAAACAGTCATAAGCAGGAGGTGATGATTCCTTAAGTGAGCCCAGTAGCAGAGCACCATGTATTCTTCTTCTTCTTCTTTGCGTTCACCAGCTGTAAACTCTGGTGGAAGGAAAGCTCTGGTTGTTCGTCCACTTCTGAACTGCAGCCCTATTCCAGAACCTGAGTGTTGCGTGTGCATCCATTTGACAGATCTGACACATCTGTGTGCAGACTGTTAGTTACTTGCCTCTCAGGCAGATGCACTCTGACTTCGAAGGAAGCTCCCAATTAGTCGACTCTTACCACATTGTTTTCCCTATAATAGGGCCCTGGAACCCACATGGGGGGCACCATGTATTAACTCTGCATGTATGGAAGCCTACTTTGATGCGGGGCATGCTCATGATCTGCCTCTGCTTTCTTTAGAGGCCAGACCAGCATTATGTGGCTGCCGTAGACCAGTCCGAAGGTCTGCACCACCTGTGGACAAGGAAACAAAGATGACCACACACCAGTGAGACTGCATTGTTCCACAAAACGAACCCAGAAAGCTGACCCAGGCAAAAGTTGGATGTATAGACCGAAAGTATAAGTACAACTTGTGCACACTTTAGCGGTTTCAGAACATAGAAAGGGAAGGTGAGCCCTGTTACTTTATTACAAGATTGTCCCCATGTTGGTTCCATGCCTAATTTTGGGGGGGAAAAAAAAGAATAGACCCACTTCCTCCCTAACAAGCATGTCCTAAAAGTCAACTAATTAGGGATGTTTTCTCTCAATTCAGAGTGCGTCTGCATAAGAGGCAAGGAACCAGCAGTCTGCTTACAAATATGCCAGATCTGTAATATGCCAGATCTGTAAAATGGATGTGCATGCAAAACTTAAGTTCTGAAACAAGACTACATTTCAGAAGAGGACAAACAGACAGAACTTAGGCTTGAGTTTACACCCGTTGAATGTAAAGAAGTTATCAAGTTGTGAGAAAAGTCTTTACCAATATCACTACAGTAGTTTTAGAATCTTTTCAGAGCGCAGTCACTCGGAAAACTGAATGAAGAAAACTCATAGTTAAAACTGACAGTCTTTTGAAGGATTCACAACACAGCGAAACCAAGAATATACTTCTTCTGCATTCACCTTTCAAAGGGTCTTTGACATGTTGTGGTTTACAGCTAGGTTGAGATATCTATTCTTTTTGGCCTAACCCATCAGATTTCATAAAATCCTTGTTTATTCACCTTTTGCAAAACGCTTGTTAAGGGAGGTTGGCAGTGTGTCTATCCCACCCTCCCACCCCTTCCCCAAATGGGTCTCTGAAATCCACAGGGTACAGGGAAATAAAAAATCTGAGAAAGATTGTTACACATCTGACTAACTGGAGATTGGACGGATGCTCCAAAAATATCCTTGTAAAAATTGAAAAAGAACCTGTCTTATAAAAATTATACTGGAGGGAACAGTTGAAGGCACGCGAACAAGAGGTAGACACATACACAAGTGGGAAGAGGATAGCATCAAGTGGTTTAATGAACTGCAGTCTGAGAGACTGTACAGCCAGAATGAAAGACAGTGCATGTTGGAGATCTGTTGCAACCAACCTTTTTTGTGGAGATGGCACCTGAGTGATTGATTGATTGAAGAATTGTAATCCACTCAGATTGGAACCTATAACTTTTCAGCCAGAGTCATCCGCAACCCCACACACGCAAACACTACATCCTTGCCTCCGCCCAAAGAAGTAAAATGTATTTTATTTGAATTTCACTGTCTTTTTGTGCCAGTGTATGTCACATAGGGCTGTTTCTCCATCCTGTTCTATCCAATGTAATCACTTCAATATCATGGATGGAATCCAGTCCAGCACCTTTGGCGTCTCTCATCTACATTCACCTTAGGGTTTCTTTGGATCTCTTTGTTCCAAGTTCTCTGTTTCCCATTCCAGTGCCTGTTTGGTGATTCTCTGTTTATCTCTTCTCAGAATGCGTCCAATATAGCGCCATTCCTCTGTCTTATGAATGTTGATGTTAGTGGTTGTCTAGACATTTTTCTTATTTCTTTACCGTTCCTGAATTCTCCATTTTATGTTCATAATTTTCCCCAGGCATATGATTTTGAAAACATTTAACTTTTGTTCTTATTTCTCTTACTTTCACTGGTATATGCAAAATCATTAGAATTTATAATGCGTAACTAGTTTCTAAAACTATATAATTTACAGTATTTTGTTTTTAATGCTTTAATGTTTTAATTATATGTTCTACATTGCAGGTGATGCTCTGGTAGTGCTTCGGTCAGATCCAAGCAGTGGCTGGCAGTATTTGATCTCTCACAGTTTAATTAATGCCAGTTTGTCCATGCTGAAATCTACAGCCACAGATATTAGACTAACTGTGCCAGCAGAACTTACTGACTACCTGTCTCTTGCATGGTCACATTTGAAGAGTGAGCTGGCTAGAGAGCTTCTCAGGTATGTAGAAATGTCAGAATTATACATAAAAATTAAGGTAAAGGTCCATTTTCTGCTCCCTCATGCGCTGTGCATGGCATTAATTGTAAAATTTTTTTTATTTTTTTTTTTTTTTAGTTTTTTTTTTCTCTTAAAGACAAATGAGCCATCTTAACTTCTTAAAACTTTTCTTTTCATGTAGTGATTCTAGCCTTGTTTAACCTGGGAGCATAAGTTAGAAAAAAAAATATAAAAAATATATTCACGCTTAGGTGATGATTTTAAAACTGATCTGCCAGGTCTCTTCATACACTGGGAGAGTAACTATTTACTGCACCACCCTTTGAGTAGTAGTTGATTATAAACAAAACTATGAGGCTAGACCTATCAAGGCATGGAAATAGGGCTGTATCTGGTAGCAAACTTTCATGATAGGGCGTATTTAAAAAAAAAAAAAACTTTTTCACCCTGGAAGCCCTTGGATACAGAGGCTCAGAAACAAGCATTCTTGAAAAAAAAAAAAATATTAAAAAAAAAAAAAAAACTATTTTTACACAGGTCACAAAAAATAAAATTGTAAAGTTGTATTTTATCCACTTTCAAAATGTTTTTAGAAATGTATGAAAGTGAGTATTCTGTAAACACAGCCGGAGCGTAGAGTCAAATTAATATATTCCATTGGTCCTAAAAACGAAAACTATGACTTCTAGTCACTCTGTCGCTATGTGACTGCCGAAGGCTGAAGAACTAATTATGATATCATATTCAATAAAAAGCCATTTTTACAGTAGCAGCCCCCAAGTGCTGTTTATTAGTAAATTATGTTTCCCCCGACCCCCTACCTTCCAGCATACACAGGCACAGAACCGAAGTCATTAGCTAGACTTAACGGGAACTGGTGAAAGCCAGAAACCCAAAAACCTAAAAAATCTGTCTTAAAAGGGCAGATCGAACAGATGGTAAAGTTGCAGAGTTTTTTTTTTTTGGAGGCCACATGGTTAACAGAAATTGGTTGTTTTTAAGTCAGATATTTAAAGGTGTAAATTTTCATAAACCTTTAGAATATCATACAGACATACCTTTATTTATCAGTATCACATATATCTTTTAACTGCTTAGATTCAGTTGCCTTGGATTTGTTTGCAAGTAATAAAGAATAATTTATTTTCAGGCTAGGAAAGCTGAATGTTGAGTCAGCTACTTCTCAGGGTCTTAACATTCCTGCACTGTTGCCTACAGTTGGAGGTGTGATGAAGAAACCTCACCCCTTGTCATATGTTGGACTCTCTCTTATGAATAAATTCCACATGGACTTCATCACTTGTTGCATCACTTCTGGTTTGCAGCTGCCTCTGTGGATGTATTGCTCCATTCACGGGTGAGATATTTAAATTTCTTGATGTCATGACCTAGGTGTCCTCTTTGACAGATTTGAGATATTTAGGTACAACAATGAACAACAATGGTGACTGCTCAAAAGAAGTCAGAAAAAGACTGGCTTTAGCAGTGCAGAGGCTAAACAATATAAAGAACCAATGGCATAGCACCTGCAAGTAAGTTTAGGGAAACATTTTGAGATCATGCATCTTTCCTGTGGCAGCTTATGGATGAGAGTCATGGACTGTCACTCAATCTTTGAAGAAGAAAATCTGAGCTTTTGAACTGAAATGCTACAGAAAAAGTCTAAGAATACCATTGACCAAGAAGATCCTGCTTGACCTGAACATCAAGGAGAACTGGCACGTAAACAGCATCCAATTATTGCAAGACAAAACATGCTGGAAGTTAACACACTAAAGGTTAATTTATAGATACATCTTTTGTTGACAAAAATAAAAATTAGTGTATTTTATTTTACTGCAACATGTTGTTTTATCCAACAGTTAATCATTTAAAAGGTAGTTATCTTTCCCTCATGAAGAAAGTTCCTTCCCCTCCCATTCATGCTGCAGCTGGTTGCATGGCCTGTCCTATGTTCTGGGGGGTGTCATGCATTCCTTATTTTCAACGGTTTAACCTTTCTCTCTCTTCGCATGTTGTCACCGCTCACTTGCGTCATTATTTCTGTCAAGGACCCTGTATCTCTCCTAATGAACTACGGCTTGTTATACGGCCCCATGACAGACACTCTATTCAATGACACCCTAAGCCCAAACACGTACAGAGCACATACACCAAATCTCTATTACAAGTATACGATTTTACAAAATAGTAGTTGACTTCCGAGTGTATAAGCACCCCTATCCGAAACTAGGCTGGGAGAGCTTTACAATTCACCACTCACACCTCTTCACGCTCCCATGGATAAAAAACAAGGGTTCGAACTCACGCAACCTTGGATATGCTCTTTCTACCCTGCCATTGGCCCCTGCACGAGGATTCGTGAGGCGTCCCCAACGTGGGTAGCTGGATGCACGAGGATAAGCAAAATCGCCACCACCAAGCACAGCTAAACTCTAATTACCAATAGACCTGAACAACTACTTACGCATGACACAACACCAATACAGCTGTCCGTAGAATACTATATATATAACACACGAGAAATACTAACAGCTATCCAAATCACATTACAACAACGCTAACAGTCCCTATCTTTCAACTCCTAACACAATACAATCTATAACGTCTCTCTATGTCTTCAGCCTCACACGTCCCTGTCCAACCCCTCTTCCCCTCTCCATGTTCAGCTTCGAGGAACAGGTGTATGAAGTATCAGTGTTCAAGCAATCTTGGGTTTTCCCCATATCGTGAATTCAGCTGGCTGACTGCTGGTGCACCTCTTGGTCCGTCAAACACAAACATAGGACGTCACAAGTCTTATCGTCTATACTCTGTCCCATACCCTTCCCATAGGGCTATGACAATTTCCACATTATGCTTCTTGCCAGACGGTTTGTGAGTTTCAAAATTGGGATATTTTTGTATTTGTGTGCTTTTTGTCAGGGGCTTCTTTTTGTTGAAAGGGGGAGAGGGGGGGGGGGGGAGGAAGAACCACCGCCAAGTTACATGGGAATACAAAAACAGCACAGTTTCGAAACTCACAAATAGTCACGCCTTCAGCGCTTCCCTCTACAGTACTTCTTGCTTGTAAATAGGCATCTGCGGCATCTCAAAGAGATTCACAACAACACAACCTCCCACAAATATTATATACAAGGTGCATATGCCGAATCATAACACCCCTACAATACAGGACAGGCCAAGCGACCGACAAGTTCGTGAATGGGAGGGTAACGAACTCTCGCTGTACGGGCAAGTTTGTGGTGAGTTCCGTTAATAATTATATATAATATGCATAACATAATTAATTTGTACATTTTATGTGCTTTCATTTTTCTGTTTAGCATCAGTCCATCGGAAATCAAGCTGGCACAAGAATGCTCCTGGTTTCCTCTCTTCCAGGCAGTGTATTCCATTCCCAGACATCCTACAGGTTAGATTTGTTTCCTGTTTCCACAATTAATAATTTACCTAAAATAAAAAATAAAAATTTTTAAGACATTGCTTTAAGTATGTAAAAATATATTATCAGTCAGTTTGGTCATGCCTACAATTGAAAAAAAAAAGTTAGTTTTACATCCCTGCAGCATGTCCCAAACCAACCCCATCATTTGTTGGCTGTTTGTAGTTTTTACCAGACAATTTTACATTTAGTAGTTCACTAATGCTTTTTTACCACTCGGCTCTCTACATATTGTCAAAATCAACAGAAAGCCGCCTGCTGCCAAATTGCCTGTGGCTGAATTGAACTTGGTATTGCAGAATTAAAAATCATGTTCCTAACTCCAAAGCCATAGAACCAACAGACAGGCAGTATGCTTTTATAATATGTTACTTTTCTTTAACATGGGGTATGAAGCTTAATTTTCACATCTGATGGAAGTGGCGCGGTGATTTAGGTCACAAGCGTGAGGGGAAGTTAAGTCCAACATGATGTGTATAAGGAGATACTCCGTACGTCACTCGGGCGCCAGTCCTTTACTATCCTGGTTGTACGGAACCTCACGCAAGACCCCTACAGCACGTCCTCGTCGTGCGCCACGGATAATGTCTCAAATGAGCATTAACAGAGCTGTCAGGGGATCTCGGAGTTTGGCGGCCCCCAGAGGTGACGTGTCCTTGTGGCTCTCACCAGCCCGCCCCCAAACGCTTGGGTGAAAAATGTTATCAAAACTCATTAGGAACATGAGTAGGTTCGACAAAAGTACAGCTAAAATCACAACCCTTGGTTAAAAGACTGCTGAGTAAAGAGAACATTGCTCAATGCTCATCCTCGGTTAATTCTCAGTGTCGTCGTCACCGCGCTGAGATGCAACACAACAGAAACCATACATGGGCTGGCCATCCTTGTGCATCCTCGGTTGGCCCTCAGTGTCGTCGTCACCGAGCTGAGGTGCACCACAACAGCAACCATCCATAGGCTGGCCAGTCACGTACATCCTCGGTTAACCCTCAGTGTCGTCGTCACCGCGCTGGGGTACACCACAACAGCAACCATCCATCGGATGGCTAAGCCTAAATGTCCGACAAAACTAGATCATACGGATCAAAATCTGACCATCAAAATTTGCACTGAAATGCAAAAGGCCGAATGTCCATACCCAAAGACCCCACTCGCCCGAGTGTTGGGACAAAACTGATAACGATATGCCTGATTCAGGATGTGAAATTCTGCCGGGCTAATGTACCTATCTGTGTGGTCACAAAAGTCCAAAACCAACGGGCTGCTCCCCGCTGACTTCCAGAGGGCGCAGCCCCTGTCGAGCGGGAGGCCTGATACGGTTGTGAGGTTAAGCAGGCATGTGCAGGACGTGACGATTCCTTGGGTGAGCCCAGAACCAGAGCGCCATGTGCCGGCTCTGCATGCATGGAAGCCTCCTTGGATGGCGGGGAATGCCCATGATCTGCCCCTGCCTTCCCTTGAGGGCCAACTGTTCCACAGGGGGTTGCCCCAAAGGGGTACTCCGGGGGCAATACCTGCGGCGAAGGAGACAAGGCGGACACCACACAAATCAGGCAGTCTCGACCCACACAAAACAATGGCCACAGTCACCCTAGAAATAGGCCTGACGTCTTCCTTCGAAGTCGGCGTACAGCTGCCCAAGAGGCAGGGAAATTAAAAACGGTTGTACACGCAAAAATCAGGTCCAGGTGAAGGCCAAAAGTCCAAGCGGACGATTAACCGGGACCTTCCACTGGAATTCACAGCCGGTGTTCGATGAAAAAAAAAAAAAAAAAAAAGACATCTGATGGAAAACTGGACAGAAAATTAGCTCAAGAAGTACTGATCAAGTAATGTGGCAACTATCTCCCCTGTTGACACGGAAGCAGATACCCCGGAGTACTAAAGTGAATCTTATCAGAACTATTTTTTGGCCAACACTATGCTATCAGTGCCAGATGTGGACACTTACATCCCCCAATGAACATAAAATTGTGACAACAGAGATGAAATGCCTTAGAAGAGCTGCATGAGTTTCTAAGAAAGACAGAATGTGAAATAACAAAATCAGATGAATGCTAGGAATAAAGCCAGTCTTACAAGTCATCAAAGAACAACAAATGAAGTGATTTGGACACCTAACAAGCAAACCACAGTATAATGTTACAACGGCTATAGATCGAGCGGAAGACCTCAGAAAAGATAGAGTGATGGCATTAAGAACAGCCTTACAGAAGTGATTATCGATCTTAATAGTGTTCTTGACAGAGTTCATCAACGAACATTACATCTCCCCCCGACACTTCCCTGAAGTACAGTGTAGAAGAGAAGAAGAAGAATATGAAACTTATAAATATGTAAATAAGCACTTTCTAATAAATCAGAATGTGTATACATTTGTCTTAGACACCTTATATATATGTATTTAAGTATGTGTGTGTGCGTGTGCGTGCGTGAGTGCGTGCGCGTTTTCGTGTGTGCGTGCGCATATATATATATATATATATATATATAAATATGATTAAATATGTATATATATATATATATATTCTTCTACTTCTTCTTTTTCTTATTCTTAAACATTCTGAGCCCTTGAAGTTTTTTGCTGTAGATACAGCCCATCTTCATGTTTCTGTGAGTAGCCTTCTCTTTCCACTTGGGGATTCCAATTGTTCGTAGATGTGTCTATCTCGAATCTTCTGCTTCTGTTCAACTTTGTTTGTTATGTGTTCATTTGTTGTCTCCTTTCTTTTATCTGCCATTCTCTCTGTATGTCCAAACCATTACAGCCTATTTTTGTGATGCTAGTAATTAATGGTGATTATGAATTTAATTGTTACCTCTCATTGTCCATTCTTTGCTCCCCCCCCCCTCTGTGTGTGTGCGTGTGCACATGTGCACGTGTGCGCAAGTGTCTGCACTTGCTTGCCTGCTTGTACGTGTGCACATGTTCTAAAAAAAATGCACTGGCTGAAAATATTACTGTTTTATTTTGTATTTTTAAAAGACCCTTTTTTTTTTCAATTGTTCAGACAGGACACTGATGCTTTCTGCCAGTCTTCTAGCAGCTGCTGACCTCTGGCCGTTGTCCTCTGGTGAAATGACCGTTGAGGCGATGCTCGAGAAGAACCAGATCTTGGCTGCAGTCGGTACTCTGTGCTACATGTCTGAGGTAAGAACGATGTGTATTTTGAAATTTGCTGTTATGCTGTAATGTGGTTCCATTAAGGTGTCTGGCAATACAGACTATACATCTTAACTGGAACTACTAAAATCTGATTTAATGTTGAAAAAAAAAAAGATGTGTCAATGATTTAAGGAACTGTCAAACACACTGCCCTTTTGTATTGCCTGATAATTATACATTTTTTTTTCTTAAATTGCTCTATGAACTTTGTTTAGAAATGATCTGAAGTTCTCTTTGATCAGTCAGTCAAACAGTCAGTCAGTGAAACAGGTGCCATCTCCACAATGAAGGTTGGCTGCAGTGGATCTCTGTCTCCTGTCTTGGTTGTGCACTCTCTCAGACTGCTGTCCGTCCATCTCTTGATGTCCCCCAACTTATGATGTTGTCCACCTCTTTGTTGCATCTTCTTCCTTTTACCCACCAGTGGAGCATACACCCTTAAACAACACATACTGAGCTGTCCTATACTTTGCTGTTGCATGTAGCTCACTTCTTGTCCTCTCCGTCTTGTTAACTTCATTTTCTAGTTCCCTTCTCTTAATTTTTTTTCAGGGTCTACATTTATACCTTTGACACTGTGGGGTCCATTGCCATGACTTTTTGGTTATATTGTTCTCAGGTTTTCTCAATATTTCTGCTTCGGAAGATGGACCTCCTGTGAGCATGTCCCAAGAGCTTATCTCATTTGTAAACCAATAATCAGTGTTTGGGATGCCTACTGTCATGATGCCTACTCTCATGGTGCCTACTGTCATGAAGCCTACTATCCGTGAAGCGCGGATCAAGGTCAGCATGGGCATACACAGCGCAAAGAAGGGGGAAAACAATACATGAAGACAGCGGCGCTTACCAGACAACCACGTCAAGCATGACCATGGAAATAGCCGCTGCTTCTAGAGCTTTAGCATGGGTATCCGAGCAAACCGCCACACAAGCAGTAATTGTCTCAGACTCAATGAATATGCTTCAGAAGATAGCAACAGCCAGTATGCGCTCTGAATGGATAGAAAGCATTTGGAAATCGCACTTAACTTCCGTAACCTGGATCTACACACCGGGTCATGCGGGCGTAAAGAGAAATGAGCGAGCAGACCAACTGGCAAGCACTGCACTGATTATTGCGGGAAAAAGCATGGACAGAGCAGATATCGTCGACGCTGTACGCACTGGGCTAGTGGATAATGATGAATCCTTGACACTAACACGATTGCGTGACATGGGAGTTAAGCATGGTGAAGCACGTCTTTGCCGTCTTCGAGGTCGAGAAAGGACACAATATAACCAGCTTCTCATGGGGACAATTAGTAGAAGTACTTTGGAGTGACTGCTGCTTCAGAGGACTGCCACGCATGGGTATGCCCAATGTGCAGTGACATTAATTGTGATAACAAAACATAAAATAACATTTTGTAGGGAGTCGGCAGTCCGAAACCCAAGTTCAAGGTTCATGCCAAAGAACTGCATGGCTGTTGGGTGAACGAAGGCAGTCAGGTCGCTGTAGGGGCGACGCCTGCTGATGGATGTAATGTCCTAAGTCCCTTCCCCAGCTAATAGTGAGGGTACTGCTGGGGCGACCATTTATTAACACTCACATAATGCTTCAGGTCAAAATGGACGCTAGGCACGGCCACTTTTTTTTTTTTTTAGCCGTGGCAAATGTTTTTTTTTTTTTTTACTTCTGCCAGGCGGTGGCTGTTGCATTTTTGCTCTATTTGTAGACTGGAAGCATATAGTTTCGTCGCCCAGCTTCTGAGTTGAGTGCATGGTGTGACACTGTGAGCTACGTGTGTTTTTCATTGGCACAGGAGCGGAGCAACTATGGGGTGACCCGTTTGCTATGAAGCTGAAACTAGGATTACCAGATTACCTTAAGCCTACTGTCATGATGCATACTGTCATGGTGCCTACTGTCATGGTGCCTACTCTCATGATGCCTACTGTCATGAGGCCCACTCTCATGATACCTACTCTCATGATGCCTACTCTCATGATGCCTACTGTCATGAGGCCCACTCTCATGATGCCCACTCTCATGATGCCCACTGTCATGAGGCCCACTCTCATGATGCCTACTGTCATGATGCCTACTGTCTGATGCCTACTGTTTTCCCAGAATGACAGTGTTATATTGTGCTAGATGGAGGCAGGGGAATCACCACCCATGTTAATGGCCAGTGTGACCACCTTGACCAGATTACATAACCCTTTCACCCCAGAACACTAAAAAAAAAAAGATCATGACTCTTTAGAATTCCAGAAAATAATGTATAAAACGGTTTTACTTGAGGTTAGTTGCGTATCCTTTACAGGACGTTGCAGAACCAACCCCAAACAGCCCCTGGCTGTTATGTGGTTTTTATAGGCAAATTTACGTCTAGTAGTTTGCCATTGCTTTCTGGACGGTCCACTTTCTTGATACCACTGTCGAAACCAACGCGAGGCGCATAGCCTGCAGCTGGGAAAAGGTAAAGCAGTAAATGAAATACATCTGGGTGGGGGGGGGGGGGGGGTGCTCTCAAGAAAGCCTTCTAGGAAAAGATGGAAAGAAGAAATCAATTCGAATTGGTGGCGCTGAATAATGAAGACTGGCACAGTTTTGCAGGGGAATAAGATGAGAAGTGAAGCAGATTGTGATTTTAGCAAAGATTTGCACAAGCCTTGAGAAGTATTGTAGGGATCATGGAAAAAAAGACAGGTAATTACAACTGACAATTACACTGTCATTAAGGTTTTAGATGCCTAATTATTGAATGTACTATGCATTCAAAATTATCCAGAAAAACTGACCACTCAGCTAACAATACATGTTGTTAAAAATTGTTCTTTCTTGCAGGAACACCCCAGCCTGAATGCATCATATATAGAAAAGTATCTTCACAAATTTCCCAAACTAATTCTGGCTTTATTGCCTGAAAGTCATGAGTCTTCATCCAAAGGCAATACCACAGTTTATCAACTGTTGATGGTAATTATTTATGTTTGCCTCATCTTTTTAACTCATTCAGTTTGAGTAAAAACAGCAACTGTACTACGATGCAAATTTGCATCTCTATGTTTAGTTTATTTGCATGTTATATTTATTACTTGAAAATCTGTTATAAAAATCAGATATAGAGTTTCTTTTTTTTTCTTTTTACTGTTACTTCTGACTTATTTTCACATGCAACGGTCACTGTCAATTATTTTGTATAATTCCCTCCGACTTGTTGTTATTAAGATGATATCATTAGGGCAGCATAAATGTGTTAATGTTATGACCACTGTAATAACAGTTAGAATTCTTGTTGAATTTCTTCAGATCTCAATATATGCTCGTAGATGAAAGTATACATCTTTATCTGACATCTTTATACACTAAAATGTTTTTAAATTGTTGTCCATTTTTATTTGTCTGACAAACAAATTAAAATGTACTGATTAGCACTCATAGGGGCTGAGGAAAGAAGTAGAGCTGGGAGGACATAGTAGACAACATATGTCTCTTGAAAAAGAAATTAGCTATGAATGTAAGTGACCTCATCACATAATGCATTGGCCTCGAATTTATGAATGTGGCTGTATGTGCGCAGGACTTCCTATACAACAGACAAAAATATGGTAAATGTATGTGTGTACGTAAACATAAAATGGGATGAATTTAAAAGGGGTGAAGAAATAATTTTTAGGCAACCACTGGTATCAACAGTTATAAGACAATGCATTTTTAAATTGTTGTCCATTTTTATTTGTCTGACAAACAAATTAAAATGTACTGATTAGCACTCATAGGGGCTGAGGAAAGAAGTAGAGCTGGGAGGACATAGTAGACAACTTATGTCTCTTGAAAGGGAAAGTAGCTATGAATGTAAGTGACCTCATCACATAATGCATTGGCCTCGAATTTATGAATGATGCTGTATGTGCGCAGGACTTCCTATACAACAGACAAAAATATGGTAATGTATGTGTGTACGTAAACATAAAATGGGATGAATTTAAAAGGGGTGAAGAAATAATTTTTGGGCAACCACTGGTATCAACAGTTATAAGACAAAGAAGATAGTGCTATACTCGACACATCTTGAGAAGAAACGAGCAGAGAATCATAAGACAGGAGCTTACAGAAATAAAGGTATTGAAGAGGCGAGGACGCCCCCCCCTCCCCCCCCCCCCCCCCAAAAAAAAAAACTAACTGCTAAAAACAAACTTTGTTGAGAGAGGTCAAAAGTGCTGGACTGGATTCCATCCACAATATTGAACTGACTAAGCTGGATAGAACGGAACAGAGGATTAGACTGCGAGCCCTATGTGACATAATGGAAAAACAGGTCAATGAATGAATGTGTGAAAGTACGTCAGCAGTATTTATTTTCCTTTCCTTATTTTGACTCACAAATACATGTTTTACGTTTCACAGGGCACAGCACCCTTTGATTTAAGGAGGTTATTTGGATGGCATTCAACAAATGTTTTTGCTGGGGAAGGTAAGTAGTAGGTTATCATTCGTTAGTCTACGTCTGTGGCTTAGGCTTTGTATGTAATTCTGGGGTTCCAGGTTTGATCCCAGCTTCTGGCAGGTTGGCAGCCGATTGCCTTGCGTTGGTTTCCACAGTGGTATTGTGAGTCAACCATTCAGTATCATTGGCAGATTACTGAATGTAAAATTGTCTAGCAGAATTATAAACAAAACAAAACAAAAAAATGCTGGGATTATTTCTACAACATCCTGTGAAGGATACGTAAGTAAATTTCTTTTATTACTGTGTTCCTCAATTTTTTAAGCCAGCAAGGTTCTTTACTGCTATTAGCAACAGTGTGTTTATTATGATATTTAAACTTCTTATTCGAACCTGTCATTCATTGTTCACCTAACAAAATTTCTCCTATGTTACAACTCTTTAACTATTAATATGTTACTACTGTTTAAATATTCTTCTGTTACCTATTCTTGTATGTTAGTATTGTTTAACTGTTCTTCTTGTATGTTAGTATTGTTTAACTGTTCTTCTTGTATGTTAGTATTGTTTAACTGTTCTTCTTGTATGTTAGTTCTGTTTAACTGTTGTTTCACTGTATTTCCTGTATGTTATTATTTATAGATGGGAATTGGAACTCTTGGCTTGCTGCTGAAGATAGGGATGGAGGTATTTCTTATAAGTCAGTACTGATTAACTATTCTTCTTACATCTTAGTGCCGTTTTACTCTCTTCTGCTATGTTACTACTGTTACACTTTTGATGTATTAGTACTGTTTATTCTTCTTACATGTTAGTACTGTTTATTCTTCTTGAATGTTACTAATGTTTAACTATTTGTATGACAAATTCTGTACTTGCATTCTAAATATGAATCTCTTTCTTAGGTTTGCCAATTTTTAAAAGTAAAGAGAAGTTAGGTAGATATTTCAGATAAAGATAATGTGCTGTTTTTTAATTTCTGAATATTCTATTCTGTTTGTTTTCAGACAGCCCAAGTTTAATGCCCCACTTCTCAGAGCCTCATCTGAAGAGCTCACATTCAAGGCAGCAAAAGTTGTCATTTCCCTACTACCTGAAACACGGTCGCCCAATTTATGCATTTCTATCATTCTTATCAGAAGAGTTGGACAAAAGAGAAGCAACTCTTTCTCTAAGAAGGTACATTTTGTTGTGTGTAATTTGTTTCCCCCTGGCATGTATCTGGGTGCATAGTGGTGCAGCATCCGAGGCTAACTTCAGCATATCTGTTATTTCAAGATGAGGATAGTATTAGTGTTTGTTAAATTCGAAATGGATGGTACACTTCTTCCTGATCCGGGTTAGTGGATCAGAAATCTACACCACGGCAGCTCCCCCATATCCATGAGTATTATAAAATGTCTGCATGTAATGAGATTCACCTGGTTTGACCTATGAGAGAAGGCTAGAGCATTTTTGGAATTATCTGTGTGCAGTGCAAATGATCTTCCACAAACCAATCAAATTTGGAGACATGAAGATAGAATTATCTTCTTCTGCTTCTTCGTGTTCACCAGCTGTAAACTCCGGTGGAAAGTTCTGGTTGTTCATCCACCTTTGGACTTTAAACTTATTCCAGAACTTGAGTGTTGTGTGCACATCCATTTTACAGATCTGACTTTTTTGTATGCAGACTATTTGTTCCTTCCCTCTCAGGCATATGCACTCCGACTTTGAAGGAAATCACCAATTAGTCCTCTTACAACATTCTGGTTGGGGAGGCAGTAGGTCTTTTCTTGTTTTCCCCACAATAGGGCCCTTGAACCCACATAGGGAAGATAGAATAATTATACTGATCAAAGACTTTTACCCTCCCTTGTAACACTTGATCTTGGAAAAATGGGGTCAACTTCTTCCTCTTCACTTTCTCCACTGATTTCATAGAATAATTGGTTCGGGGTGGTGGTAGTGGTGGAGGGGGGGTTGGGGTGTATTAATCTTCTTTATGCTCTTGCTAATGCCATGTTTAAGTTAATCTTCATTTCCTTCTCATTTATAATTGTATCATTGTCTGTTTATTTTTTCATTCTGATGAAGTCTTTTAGCCACATTGTTCAATGTATTGTTCATGCTTGTTGTATTGTGGAGCTGACTGGTTCTACTTCTCTTTTGGATCAACATTTTTTCTTGATATTTTTTCTTTGAGGCAGTTATTGATGCCACTGCTGTGTCTTTTGCAATTTCTTCTTCTTGTCCTGTGTTCATTATATTTCTTTGCCATGACTCTATGTGGCAGTTGTTGTTGGTACATTCTTGTCAGATAGCTAGATCTTCTCATCTGTCTAATATCATGTCACAGTTTTGCTGTAATTATATATAAACTAAAATTTTTATTCGCTTCACAGAGTACAGCAGGCTTGTGGTGCAGCTCTGTGGATTGCTTGCCAAAACTTCAACACTTCTCAAGTAACCAGTTCTTGCGTTGTGTTTGTTGAGTTGCTGGGCCGTGACAGCGCCCTTGTTCGCTCCATGATACATGCTGGACGTCTCCTTCTTGCTCACAGACACCGAAATGTGGGCGGAGGAATAGAAGCAAAGAAGGAGCAATTAAAAGAATGTGTCGCGGAAATAGGTTAGTGTCGCCTCCACACTTGTTTCTAAGTTTCTTCATTCTTTAAGGTCTCATTGACTTACAAATTCTGTTCTGACCAACTTGGTCATAAGTGAAATTTATATTTTTCAACACCATTTTCAGTCAAATAAGTATTAAACAATCTTTTACATAGAACGCAAGGGGCTGCATGGTCTCGGGGCATGGTGTCCACCTCGAGTGCTAGAGGTTCCGGGTTTTATCTCCCGTAAGGGCTGCAATTTTTTTCACGTGGATTTTGATTTCTATCAATTCCCACTGGTCTCTGGGTAGTGAGATTGGACGCCCGTGTGCACTGTGTCGCACGTAATAAAATGCCTTGGCAGCTGGAAATCGAAAAGAGTAGTCTTATTTTGCCCGGGCAAAATTCGGAGTTAAAAATCCACCCAAAGTATTTCTGGATCCTCGCTGGTGCTACAGAGCCTGTGTATTGTGCTGAGCTTTTTTGGACTCAGACTTGAGTTAGAAGAAAATCGGACCACTTATGGGTTATTACCCGTATGCCATGATGTTGATCCATTGTTCAAACCTCAAACCTTACATAAAGTGCAAAAATACAATCTAAAAATGTGTAATTGTGCATTATTGTTAAAAATAACATAATGCGTACTCTATTGCCTCAGTTCCTGGAACTTTATGACCCTACCAATGTAGTTATCTTTTTTTACAATTGTTATTTATTTTTGTTTTCGTAAGTGTGGAAGGTCATAAGTCACATAAGTCATAAGCTGAGTAGTTTGTATTTTTATTTGTTCTTTTCCGAAGTGATATAATCCAGCATATTAACTAACAGCTTTGCTGATAGGGGAATATACAGCTTTTCTTTTTGAAGGTGTTATTTGAGACTTGTGTTTCAGCATTTTATTGATGCATTGCTGTTTTGTAAAAATAACAAAATCAGTTTACTTATTTAGCGGTAGCAATATTGGTAGTAAACGAAATACAAAGAAAGAAATTATGACACACATTTGCAAGACATCAACAGCTTTTAATAGCTTGAACAAAATATGGAACCCTAAATTGAATAGTTTTAAAACCAAAGTACATATTTTTCAGTTTCAATGTTATTTCAGTTTTAACATATGCTAGTGAAAGTTCCTGGGGAAGTAAAGACGGCCAGCGTAATGCTGACCACATTACCCACAGAGTGCCGATTAGTCTGTAAAAAATATGGGACGCTCTGCCCATATGCCCGATGCGCCGAAAGGCGTGAAAAGGGAACTTTACTTTTTTTACAGTGAAAGTTGAAGAACCACTAAAGACATGGAACGAAAGTTAAATGCATTCAGAAACAAATGTCTGAGAAAAATGATGAAAATAAAATAGGATAAATTCGAAAGGAGTGAAGAAATCAGAGAAATGTCTCAGCAGTCACTAGTATCAACAGTTATATGACAGAAGATTGGACACATCCTGAGAAGAAACAACCAGAGAATCACCAAACAGGTATTGACATGGGAAATGAAGGGATTATGGAGGCGAGGATGCCAAAAAGAAACCCTAAGATGAACGTTGATGAAAGAGGCCAAAGCTGCTGGACTGAATTCTTTTCATGATGTTGAACCGATCGCACAGGATAGAACGGATAGAACAGACTGTGAACCTTTTTTGACATATAGTGGCACAACAGGATAGTGAGTGAATGAAAAATGAACGGGTAACATTAGTAGTTACTACACACAGCAAATACTAGAAGAGTTCAACCATGTAAAACTAAACATATCTGTGATTAGCAAAAAATAAAGCCAGTCTTACAGCTCATCAATTAACAACAAATGAAGTGGTTTGGACACCTAACAAGAATGCCCTGATACTATCTGCCACAGCACAACAAACTAAAACTTTACAGCGGGTGTAGAGCGAGTGGGAGACCTTGGAAAAGATGGAGTGATGGCAATAAGAACAGCCTTACAGAAATTAACATCAGTCTTAATGGAGCTCTTGACAGAGCTCATCAACGAATGCTACACCCCCCCCCCCTTCCCCGACACTTCACTGAGGTACAAGGTGGAAGAGAAGAAGAAGAAGAGGAAGCAAAAGGTGTATATTGGCAGCAAAGAGCAGCTGTAAGATAGCAACTGATGAGGGACATTTCAGTGTGCAAGAGAAAGCTGTCCGTCAACATATTTGCTTCCAATATACAGTAATTTAAAGAGATCTAATGTAATATACCAGATTTTTTAATATAATAATTATAATATAAACAAATGGAATGCTGATGTCTCTGTGAAGAAGCAAGTCGGAAGGAACTGCAGAAAATTATAGATATGCAGTGCTGTGCTCATTATGATTAAAGTAGTATATTTTAATTAGTTTCAGAGTTACAGGCATGCATACGTAGCCGTCATCGCCATGGCAGCAAGTTGATTGCATCACTGGAAGCCGCCATCAAAGATGAGGTCCGGATTGAAGGTATTGGGAGGTTAGTGGTTTGGTATTTTCTTCAGAAATAAACATACAGTGAGCAGCTAATTTGAGACATTCTCTGTGGAAGCTCTTCAGGTTGTTGATTCAGATGTTTTTGTTGTTGTTGTTGTGATATTAGTGTTTTTTGTTAGCACAATCAGGTCATGCTAATGATACTCGCCATCTTATTGGCTGTGATTCGCATGCCTCCATATAGAACAGTTGAACTCTTTTGTCTGGAAAGATGGAGAGTGACGTATGTGATCTGCCCGAGAGCATCGCATGCTTGCTAAGTGGCTAGGGGATATGTTTATAAATGCCTGTCCTCTACCCATACACTGGATTCACTCATGGCCGCCCACTCTCACTGTTATGGCACATGTTGATAGTGATTATAATTCGAGTTAAGGAGTACCAACCCAAACAAAAGCACCACATTACGCCTCACATTTGTGACAAGCTAACACATGTCCTTACCTAACCAGTAACGTTGTCTACGAGTACGGTAACACAAAAAACAACGCCAAGTATGATCCCTTCATAGTGCCTCAGTCTTAATTGTGGAGGAATACAAACTGGTATAACAATATCCACTAACGCCCTGAAGTGGGTGAAATGGCTACTCCAGTCATAACAAATCAATAAGCCCTTAATGGAGTACGCTGAACACCCCGGGAATCCGACTCAATAGTCCCAAGTATTCCTTGTGAACGACCTCTTAAAACCACTCCACCAACTGCCTCACCGTCCTCCTCAATCATGGACAGATTATTACGAAGTTGAATTGGTGATCGATGACACACTGTCAGGTCTTCTACTGCCTCCCAAATATTCACCTCGGCAGTATTTCCAGACATGGATGAACACCCCAGCGAACTGTGTCCCAGGTGCCAGTTACACTTGACCGCGCAGATACAACTTGTGATGTACACTGACCACCCCCGAATGGCTGTCCTATCCACCGGACCTGTCAATCTGAGGGTTTGAGGTAGATAAACCATGCGGTGAAAAATAAAGCGAAAACGAAATCCAGACCACAGTCTGCTACCTAGCCACTGAAGCATCGCTGACCACTATTCTGTCTGTCAGCCTCTACTTTTCCCACATCACACTGCACGTTAGTTAACAGACACAAGGTTTCCAGCACCGTTTGTGCCCTTACAGATCCCCTTGTCAACTACATGTCCATAGTCGCACACTGCCCACCCCACAAACACATGGGCCGCACAACCGTCCATTCTGGAAATTACACAGACAGAACTCCTATCTCATGATCCACCAAACCCATTAGACAATTCACTTGAGCTCCAACAGAATAAAAACACCTTGTTAAAATACACTGGACTGGAACAAAACATTCTGAACTCGTCCTTACACTAAGACGGACTACGAGACACTCCCTGAAACTACCATAGGACTTTTCACCCCCGCAGTCAGCCACGTGTGGATCCCGTTTTCTCACCACCACTCGGGATTTACCACCCTCGTGCTATCGACCCACACGGATCCCACAATATACATGATGTCCCCAAGCTCGCCATAAACTTCGAGTGACACATGTTTTCCCCAGTGGCTCAAGATTCACTGCCTTCCAGAGATTCCCAAATGTTTACACTCTCAGCCTGTCAACACACAGCACTGGCTTCATTAACTCTTTATACACTTGAATAGCAAAGTGAGTTTAGCACATGACATAGAGGTGCCAACAAACAATCAACAATAATCAAGGCATAGAAACAGGTTCTTTACTGGTACTGCTTAATTAGACTAAATGCAAGGAAAGAAGTATATGTTTATCTGTCTGTCTGTCTGTCTGTCTGTCTGTCTGTCTGTCTGTCTGTCTGTCTGTCTGTCTGTCTGTCTGTCTGTCTGTCTGTCTGTCTGTCTGTCTGTCTGTCTGTCTGTCTGTCTGTCTGTCTGTCTGTCTGTCTGTCTGTCTGTCTGTCTGTCTGTCTGTCTGTCTGTCTGTCTGTCTGTCTGTCTGTCTGTCTGTCTGTCTGTCTGTCTGTCTGTCTGTCTGTCTGTCTGTCTGTCTGTCTGGGTGGGTGGTTGGGTGTCTGTGTTCCTGCACATCAGAAGTTGTTCAAGAAGTATGGAAGCACAACCCAGAGCAGTTTGAGATTTGCTATTTGAAATAAATATTTAAAATTGACACAATAATTGACAACCTGGTATTTGTTTCTTGTATTTCCAGTTATAGAATTGACAGCCTGTTCTTTGTTTCATGTATTTCCAGTTATAGAATTGACAGCCTGTTCTTTGTTTCATGTATTTCCAGTTATAGAATTGACAGCCTGGTATTTGTTTCTTGTATTTCTAGTTATAGAATTGACAGCCTGGTATTTGTTTCTTGTATTTCCAGTTGTAGCTTTGAAGCCAGTCATAAATGGATGCTGGTGATGATGTTATGCAGACTGTTAGGACTACCTCTGTCCAACTGCTTCCTGCAGTTGTGTGCCGAGAATGACAATTGGCTGATGTTTGTGTGGTTTGCTCAGCTCCATCAGTATCCAACACACCAGGTACCTTACGAATACAGTGGTACCTCAGAATTCAAACTCTTATAAATTCTAACAACTTTTAATCGGAATGCAATTTTCAAGTAAATTTTACCTTGCTGCTTCAATGCCACCTTGGAAACAGAACACGTAGCGGTGCTTTATGAATATCCGACCCCAAACATTGGAAATCCACAGGTTACGGGACAGTCTAATATTTCAGGGGGTGGTAGATAGGCTGCATATAGTCGTGAGACTTAGGCTGCATGCTTTCGTGGGACCTAGGCTAAAAGCATCAGAAAGCCGGGAAACAAAGTCCTACCACACTCTAAAATGTTGGACTGTCCTGTGATGTCCTCTTGGTTAGGATATTTATAAAGTACCCACCTGGCATCTGCCAGCCAAGCGCTACAACACAGCTCGTCAGCTTGTCAACTTATATGATTTGCTAGTCTAATTTTATGAATTTGTTTGCTCATTGGCTTTTTAATATTTATAAAAAACACAGTGAATTAGTTATAGTTGTTTTATTATCTTTTAAAAAATTGATTTCTGTTTTTTTAAATTAAAAATGATCATCATCTGTTACTATTTAACATTGTACTATAATACATTGCTCTGTAAATTTTAGGTTATTTTTTTTATAGATTTCTTTTATTTGTTTATGTTCTTATTTAAAAATGATAATCATTTGTTGTATTATGCTGTTGGCCTGAGGAACAAATTAATTTAGTTTCCGTTATTTTCTGTGGGAAAAATTGCCTTGAAAGTCGATTTGGAATACGACTGTGAATTATGTTTGAATTCTGAGGTATCGCTGTGTAGCATCTTCTATCGCATCTTTGCTTCTTGGTTCTTTTAATATGATGTACCACAATCTATAACATTTTTTGAAACCATGAATATCAATCCATATGAGAAGTAGAACAAGTCAACTTCACAGTATCACAGTCATCAATAAAAAAATTAAAGATGTGGCCAGAAAGCATTCATCAGCATTTGAAACAAGTAGACAGTGATACAGTTTTTAATGAGAATGCACACAAAAGTTACCCACAAGATAAGGACTGTTGCATAATTTTTATAACATGTCGGAATAGTAGAAACACGCATCTTTGCAGGAATGATATACTGGTTAGAAAGTGAGGTTAGGAAGTGACTTAGAGAGGTTGGATGGGTAGGCAGATGACATAGCAGTCTTGAAAAATTAAAAGTTCCAACATTTATTAGCGCTTGTGGTTTTTCTAGGAACATTTTACATTTAGTAGTCTGACATTGCTTTCTGAACGGTTAGCGCTCGGTACCAATGTCGAAACCAGTGCAAGACAAATTTTCCACAGCTGGGATCGAACCTAGCACCCCAGCATTACAAAGCGCATTTGCATTGCCTAAGACACAGGCACTGACGCCTTGAAGAAGCTTAAGTGAAAATCACCTTAACTGCACTTAGGTGATGTTAGCACAGTGCTAACAATGTAATGAACAACAAAAAATGAATCATTTTGACTGTAATATAGAGTCACTTTGTCTCTTGCTACACTATGCATCTTACCCTCGAAAGTCTAAAAAGACAAACTAAATTCATAAATTTCACTGTGTTGTACCAATCAAATACCTTTCTAAAATGTTTGTGTATTCTAGACAAAGCATTATGGTCTACTGTGTTCGTAAATTGTTGCTGTGATTGTTATTCGACATATGCTTCGTTAATATAAATTTCTGTAACCTATGGTGCCATTTAAATAGTTTGAAATGAATTCTGTCCGTATTCCATAGTTGTGGATTTCAAGATGTACGATAGACATGGCCAATAAGACACATTTTTTTGGGGGGTGCCTAGTTGACCTTGTTCTTAGTGCACTTGTATTCATGGCGAGGCGCACACGCCGTCTGGAGGTGACAGGTTCAATTCTCGGCACGGTAACTATAGCTTTAGATTTTTATGTTGTCTAGTGTGTTCTTCTATCTTTATACTTCTCTCTATGAGTGCAGACCAATACACTTTCTGTTACTTGGTTAATTCATTGTAGATAAACGAGAGTTGTATCTCTTTCTTGTATTTAGTGATTACCTAATTATAGAGGAATAAGTGGAAATCCTTGTTACAGGTCAGTGACTGATATACCCCTTGATGATAAATGAGTGTTATTTCCTTTATGATAGACTAATGACTGATTCTTTCTTATCTGTTGTGATTTCATCTGACAGCTTCAGATGTTACTTCATTCATTTGCAAGTCCTCATCTCCGAGATCACCTGTATTATGTGTTGAACAATGCTGACTGCAAGATGTTTTCGTCATCCTCATCATCTGTCTCCTCACCAGCCACTGGTGGCCTCGTCACATCTGAAAGATCCAATCAAAACCAGAGGACATCCTTGTACAATAAAATTGGCTTGCAGAGATCGAAAGGTTAGATATGAACAGTGTGGGTGCAGTGAACTCTGTTCTTATTGTCTTTCGCTCTAGTCACTGCAGACTCGTCTTTCACACCCCGATATCAACACGACGAGTAGAAATGGACGACAGCAAACAACGCAAGGCGGTTTCGTTCTTTATTTTTCCACTCACTGTTTTCTCAGCCAGGTACATGAAAAAGGTCAGGTCTAGGGCCTGGCATCTAAGGTTTACAAACTAATGTCAACATTATCTGCACCCATCGAAACACATCCGCCCATTCCAAAATCACACGGAAGCATTCATAACTTTCTTCATGTCGGCGACAACACAACTCAACCGGCAGACGAGGGTTTTCCTGTCAGTCCTTTGCTGTTTGGCCAGGTAGAGTGTTTGAAGCGACATTCAGACTCAGACACATTCTGGATCCACAAACACTCCTCCGTTCTTCATTTACTCCATTTCTTGGCAAAAACGAGACTACCCACATGCTCTTTCTAAGGCATTATATAACCTTCTAACGCCCACATTACAATTACGACTTTTTCGTGTTCTCAGATTCACACAGGTTCCATTTGGCCAACATTTTCTCCGTGATTCGCACAGTTTTCATTTGGACAGCATTTTCTCTGTGATTCACGACTCTGCCCTTCTTACATGAAAATATCTCATTCATATTTATTAGCTGACGTCATTCCGTCTGGGACATAATTTATCGAGGAGAAAATGGGTTCACTACAGTGGGTATAACTTCAAGTTCTCTAAGTCGACTTTGTGAAGAGGGGCAAGCACTGACTGAGCAGTTGGCCAAGCTTTAAAGCTCAATTATTTAAACCTAGGGACACCAAAAACTGGGAGCTCAGGCACCTTTAGCCCTGCCCCCACCCCCTCCATCCTCCCTCCCAAATAATTTATGAGGGCTTTTTTGCTCTCCCCCCCCCCCCCCCCATTCTTGTAATTCCTAATATGTTCGGGGTGTGTAAATTAATTCTTGTAAATCTGTTTTCAGTGTGTAAATTAATTTAGATTATTTAGAAATTTTTTACACACTGAGAACATACTTACAAATATTAATATACATAATGGAAATGGATTTACAAGTTTTATTGGACTAATACAAGCACACATGGAAGAAGTAGATATAAGATGACCCTAACATGACACACTCATCACCATCATGTGCCTTACTTGATGATGTAGACATTCATGTACATCCTCGGTTCTCAGTACTTGATGTTCTTGGTCTGTTCTATTGAGGACATTCTTCCTGGCAGAAGCATTCCGACTTCGAAGGAAACCCCTAATTAGTTGACTCTTACAACATGCTTATTAAGGAGGGAGTGGGTCTATTCTTTTTTTGGACACCCCCTCCCCCACTCCCAATAATAGGACCCCAAAACCCTTACTGGGGAAAAGTCAATTAAAATTTTGAGTACTAATTTCTACATCAGAAGGAATAAATTGATAAGTCAACACAAGATGTGCTAAAGCAAACTGGATTTTGGGGCAGTTAACACCACTTTTCAGACACACATAGAAGTATACCTTTGTCTGTCAGGGCAGATGTAAAAAGAACTTACTTTTTGGCCAGTTTGGGACTACCCTTGTCAAACTTGGACACTTACTAAACATAATGAGTTTAGAATCGTAACAACAGAGAGGAGATATCTGGTAAATCTGTAAATTAATACTTGCAGATCTGTTCACACTGTGTAAATTAATATTGTAGATCTATTCTCAGTGTGTAAATTAATACTCAAAAATATGTTTTCATTGTAAATTATTACTTGACAATATGTTCTAAGTGTGTAAATTAATACTTGTTAATCTGTTCTCAATGTGTAATTCTGAAAGCATATTTTTTGTTCTATCTTAGTTGGCTCAAGTAGTGATGAGGAAGATGACAAGAGTGGGCATATTGTCATATCATCTTTTTCTTCAAGACTGAGGCAAACAGAATTCAGTGGTTAGTAAAGTCTGGACACTAATTAATTTTTCTTCTGATTAACTTACCTTTTAATTAGTTGATTGTTAGGAAGACAAGTATTATTTTGCTTGATTTATTTTTGGAAGGAAAAAAAAAACATGTTTGCTTACAATGTCACCTCAAGGAGAGATTAGAAGTTTATAGATAATATTTGTAAATTACTAAAAAAATGTTTATGTTTCCAGAGTGACCTAATACAGTTAACAGATTGTTAAAACATAAGGAAGATCAGTTAAAAGATTGTTAACACACCAGGAAGATCAGTTAACAGATTGTTAACACATAAGGAAGATTATTTTTAAATACTTTGACCTTGGTTTATCACTTGTGTCCTCATATTTTAAGAATTGTCGCAATGGAAAGGTCATTACAATTTTGTCATTTACAGCTTTTCCAACCTGTTTACGAGATGTTAATGCAGTTGGCCGAGTTCAGGCCTGTGCATACGTTTATGAGGTCAGGATATTAATAAATTAACTAGATATAGCATTTAGAGGGGTTTTTTTTAAGCTAAAGGGCTTTTTTTAAAGCCAAGATAATGTCAAATAAGCCTCAATAATAAAGGTCACGAGGTCTCGGCATGAGTCACCTGATACGTTCGAGTTTTTTAGGCCCCACGGGGCTGTATTCACTTTAGTGCTTCAAACCGTTCTTGTTTGTTAATTACTCCTTTCATATATCTTTATATATTTCAAGAAATAATTTTAAATGTTGATAAATATATTTGAAATGAATTTTTTCGATTAAAGTTCTGCATAAAGCCAAAACATATCAACCATATCGAGTCACAAGCTCAGTTTGAAATGTTCTGTGATCAGCTGTCAACATTGATCTCATTGTCTACCAATTCAGTTGGATGGCTTAAAGCTGAATTTGTGGATTTGGAACACCAGTATCGCACTTCCCAATCTAAGCAAAAATATCTATTATCTAAAGAGCATTTTATTCCTCTGAAAACATTAAAAGCCAATGAACAACTGATAATATTGAAACCCGACAAAGGCAGTGGTGTAGTTTTGATGGACAAGTCAAACTACCAGACCAAAGTGGAAGAAATATTATCTGATCAATCAAAATTTCTGCTTGATTCCAAAGTAAATAACGCAAACAACACGGAAGCGAAAACGAAGAAAGTAATCAAATCACTTTTGGGAGTGAAATTTATCATCGAAGCTACCAATAAGACTCTCACTCAGTGTGACTCACAAATACCGCAGCTGTATGGTCTTCCAAAAGTACACAAACCTGATATGCTGCTTAGGCCTATCCTGTCAATCTAACTAATATTTGTTTAAAAAAAAAAGAAGCTTATATCCATCTAACGTTTCAAGGAGATGATGTTGTGCAACATTTTGATTGTGGTTGTTGGGCATAATATAAACAATTTACTTTATGCTGATGACACAGTCTTGAAAGCAACAAGTCAGACAGAACTACAGGAAATGATAGACATTGTGGTGGTAGAAAGTGGAAGAATGGGCCTTAGTTTGAATAATGCGAAGACAGAAGTAATAATGGTATCAAAGAAAAGAATTTTTCCTAAATGTGTAATAAAAAGTCAATGTTGTTATTTTGTGACAAGTACAGAAATATCTGGGCATATGAATAACATCAGATGGAAGATGCATTACTGACATGAGAAACAGAATAGGACAGGCAAAAACTGCATTTTATAAAATGAAGAACATCTTATGCAATATTCCTCTGTCATTGATGGTTAGAAAAAGAATTCTTGGAATAGGCAGGAGCCCGAAGACCACTTATCACAGACATCAGAAGGAGACAGTCATTTTTCGGCCATGTTATGAGAAGAGGGAAAATAGAACATGTTGTGACCACTGGGAAGATCTGTGGAAGGAGGGATAGAGGAAGACGAGAGAAGATCTTGACAGTCTTGTTGCATGGCATGGAGGTGTGTCGGCACATGAACCGATACATGCTGCAGGAGATCACATATTGTGGAGAGGCATGATCGCCCACGCCAGTCGGCAAGGCACCTGACAATGTTGATGATATAGCTGGCTCAAAACTGCAGTCAGTCAGACTTCGGGAGATTTATCATGTGTCTCACTTGAACAAGATGAGTGTTGATTGCTACTCAACCAGGGAGATACCGTTGTTTGTGACTCAGTGAGGGAGATATCATTGTTTGTGACTCATTCAATGCAATAACATTGAGCATGACTCCAGCTTTCCATCATATGTAACTCTGATAAGAAAATTTCATAAGACAGAAAATCTTTAATTTTGGATAAAAAAATAATGGCTGACCAAATGATATTTAAGAATTTCCATTACTGTTTTCCAGAGTCAGAGATGCCAGAATCCACTGCTCCAGAAGATGTTTTCCGAATGCTGTTTCATAGCAGCTCCATGCCTTCACAGTGGAAGTGTTTGTTGGCTGCTTCAGTCTCTCTGTCAAATCCTCTGTTTGCCGAACTCGCTGCTTGTTGTGTGAGTTATGACCTCTTAATCTTAATTATGATTCTTTGCACAACGAGTGTATAGTTGATAGTAACTTGATCATTATATTTAATAGTTTACATTATTTATCTTATTATTTGATTGTGAATAGTATATTTTTATAAGTAATTGTTTATGAAAAACAAATAAAACTGACTTATGATTTTGGTTAAGAAAACAAAAAAAGCATTTGGATGCAGTTGATAGTTCTTATAAATAAACTCATAAATTACATCACAATGTCTTAGAAACGAGTGTATAGTTGAAATCATAAGTCTTTTTTTTTTTCAGGAAGTGATGAGAAGATGCAAATGGCAATATGAATGCTGAAGATTATACAAAACCTGTTTAATTAACTCTTGCTTGTGTTTCACCCAGGGCTGTCCTGCCACACCCAGTCTTTGCGGATGGCTGCTGGCATCCCTTAACCCACAAGCCAAGCACAATCTTCTCAGTCTTCATGGTCAGCAGGTCAGCAAGTGGACAATGGAGCACCTGGAAGCTGTCATAGAAGCTACTCTTTCTTGTGGACAGGAAGATTCCCTCACCACAGCATTCATCATTCTACAGCCTGTAGGTGTCTGCTGCTGTCTTTTGGTCACTACTTTATAATTTTCCATGGCTTAGGCGTTGTGAGTCCCCAACTCCCACCATAATTCCAGTGTACCATAATCGAAACTTCACCACTGGCTGCATGGATTTATTATCATAGTATGGGGCATTGCAGGTCAGCCCAGCCTAAAATGGATATCAGGATATGGGGCAATGCTGACCACAATACCCCCCTAGTGCTGATTGGTCTGTAAAAAATATGGGTGCTTTTCCCGTAAACCTGATGTATGTAAAGGCGTGAAAAGAGATCTTTACTTTACTTATTTTATAGTAGCTTTTGTATATTTGTTCAGTGTTTAGATATGTTGCCTTCATAGAAGGAAGTTTGAGAATTCTCTGTTGTGCAAGGTGTGTATCTCTGGTCATCGGGATATGTATTATAGGAGAACTCTTGCGGGTATTGGACTGGCAAAGCTAACAAATCCTTCACCTCAGCCACCTGAGAAGTGCAAGACAAATACAGAAAACACTTGGCTGCAACCTGGTAACAATGAGACAACAAAAGAAGAAGAAGAGCAGGATATGTCAGTGTTGTTGAATATTTCTAATATAATTAATCCATCTGCATCTAAGTAAAAAAGTAAAGATCCCTTTTCACGCCTTTAGGCGCATCGGGCATATGGGCAGAGCGTCCCATATTTTTACAGACCATCAGCACTGTGGGTAATGTGGTCAGCATTACGCAGGCTGTCTTTACTTTCCCAGGACAGCCCATCCTGGTACCCATTTTAACCTGGGTCGACCTGCGACGTCCCATACCACGACAAAGATCCACGCCCATCTGCATCTAAGTCTTCCTTTTGCCTAGAGCCAGTTAAATGATTATTAAGGGCTCATTCATATGAGATGACAGAACAAGGCTGTTTTCTTTCTCTGTTATGTTATGTTATCACAATTGACGTCACTGCACATTGGGCATTCCCATGCGTGTTCAGTCCTCCGATACAGCAGCCACTCTAAGGTACTTCTACTAATTGTTTCCATGAGAGGTTGATTATATGTAATGTCTCTTATCTCAGCCTCAAAGGTGGCAGTTGCGTTAGTGTCAGAGATTCTTTTTCTGTATTCTGACCATAGTTTTTTTTTTTGGGGGGGGGGGGGGGATGTGTTTCTCAGTACCAGTATCATTGTTTGTCTTTTTGTCTGTCTTTAGAGAAGACAAAATAATTACACTTTCACATTTTTGTCTCCCCAGCAATCTCCACTGTTGCCATTTCTGAACTTCATTCTAAAATGTGTCAGGAGAGGCAACTACGCTGCATGTAAAACTTATCTTGATCAGTTCAAGGATGCCATGGCATCTGTAAGTAAATTTATGTTTGTCCGCCTTACTGTTGGTCACTTACACTGGGTTTCAGATGGTGGAGTGGTTTCTAAATAGAGTTTAGCTTTGAATGAAATGGGTACCCGTAGTGTCCTGGGAGTGAAGCGTCCAGTGATGTTGACCACGTCACCCACTGAGTACCAATTGGTCTGTCTTCTTCTTTGTGTTTACCCGCTGCAAACTATGGCAGAACCTTCTGATTGTTCATCCACTTCTGGTCTTTTGTCTAGTTCCCGAGTTTGAATTTTGCAGTCACATCCGCTTTACAGATCTGACTCTTTTGTATGTAGACAATTAGTTTCTTTCAGTTCAGGCATATATACTCCGACATTGAAGGAGTTGAGCGTTTAACTAAGAATTGACATCATAGCGCTGAGGTAATTCCCATAAGTGCTATGCCCTCATCTTCAGCAGCCAGCAAAGAGTTCAGATTCTGATGATGCCAGTAGCAGTTTGATTTTATGCCCGTCTTGCCATTCCCCTGAGGGTTGAGTGTTGACCAGATCCCCTGGTCACTCCTAGCTGACCATTCTATCCAGACAATAATGGTCTGTTCATGACTGTATATTGTGCGCTTGCTCCCAAAGGGCCTTGACCACATTTAACTTGTCATGCATATATTGGTGCAGAAGCAGCCATTCTGTCTGCCTGTAGCTGAGGATGTACACTGTTGGCTAGCAACTCTAGAAGTCATAGAGATTCTCAGACCTTCAAGTAGCAGGCCAGTTGGGGGAAAAAATTATAGATTTGATAGTACCAGTGAAAGATTAATGCAAGGTCTGACAATTCAGTAATGAGACTGATTTTATTACGGGCAAGACAAAAGTGCCATTTGTGAAACAGAGCATGGAATCCAAAGAGGCAACTTTCATCTATGATCTGGCAACTATGATCAAACAAGGCACCATTTTATTAACCTAGCTAGGTGTGCATTGTTATGAAATCAGCATGGAGCAAAAAGCTAACATTAAATTCTGTTTAAAACTTTTTAAAAAAGCGCCATTGAGACAGTTGAATTGATGTGACAAGTTTATGGGGATAATTGTTTACCTGGTGCACAGATTTTCAGCTGGTATTCACGATTCAAAAGTGGTGTAGAAATGGTTACTAATGCAACTAGACCTGGATGCCCAGTTTCTGTTTGTAATGATGAACTCATTGCAAAAGTCACAGAACGGATACCAGAAGATCGTTATTTTACTGTCAGGATGATGGCAGATGAATCTGGTGTAAATAGAGAGACCCTTCATAAAATTGAAGTTCAAGATTTTGGCAAGAAAAAAAAATTGTTTGCAGGTTTTTACCGCATTCATTGTCTGATGACCAAAAACATCAGCGGGTTGAGTACCCTCGGGACATCATCAAAACAGGAATTTTTGGCCCCGAAACAAGTGTGTGTTCTCAACCATCCACCATATTTCCCAGATTTGTCTCCCTGTGATTATTTTTTTATTCCTAAAATTAAAGTTACCATTGAAAGGACGCTTCATTGACGATATTGATGACATCCAAAGGGTCGTAACATCCACTTTAAGTGCCATAGCAACAGAAGAACTACAGATGTTGTTCCAGTGTTGTTTTTTTTTTAAGATCATGCTACTCACTGTATCAATGTACAAAGGGCTTACTTTGCCTAAAATACAGGTTATATCTTCAAGCGGCGTCCGTGGCTAAGGCGTTGCGAGTCCGACTCGTAAGCCAGCATACCGCGATCGAAACCCACTGCAGGCTGCGTGGATTTTTGTCGTGGTATGGGACGTCGCAGGTCGACCTAGCCTAAAATGGGTACCAGGTTGGGCTGTCCTGGGAAAGTAAAGACAGCCGGCGTAATGCTGACCACATTACCCACTGAGTGCTGATGGTCTGTAAAAAATATGGGACGCTCTGCCCATATGCCCGATGCGCCGATAGGCGTAAAAAGGGATCTTTACTTTTTTTTTTTGTTTTTATCTTCAACTGTTGGTAATTTTAATTTTTATGGAATTAGTCTCATTACTTAATTGTCCGACCTTGTATTTCTTAAGTCTGTTTTATTTCAATGGGAAATTTCTTAAATATGTTTTAAATTCAAAGAAACATCCCAGTAGAGTAAAACTGTTTTTAGTATGAAATGTACTATTGAGATTTAATAAAAAAATTTTTGTAAGCCTTAGAAAGAATTAATCTGTTGTCTGTATTAATTTGCAGAGTGAAAATCAGAAAAGCCCTACAAAGATTGCATCTGATGTGCAGACACTGGGAGATAGAGTATGGTTTGAAAAAATCACATATCTGGTGATAAAACACGAATTGAAAGTCAATGACACCCTTTATCATGCCAGGCATTTTTTGGAGATTTTGGACAAACATAATTTATGTCTTGTCTTCAGTTTTGATGGTGAGATTTTTTCTGTCTTTTCTAGGTATATGTGAAGTAAACACCTACAAAAGGGTAGCACAGCAGTGGATACCCTTCCTCTGTGGCATACCTGGAAATAAAAGAACAAATGTGCACAAACAAAGAAAAATATTAGAAAATGAATCACACCTTCTAAGACTTCCCTTATGTGTTCCAGGGCTCCATTTTGTGGCGGGAAAAAGAATTGACCACTGTTTCCAACAAGCATCTCAAAGGGAGCTAATTAAGAGTTTGCTGAAATTCTTCTTCTTCTTTCGTTTGCTTGAAATAGATTATCTGTATCTGCAATGCTGTCTCTAGTATGAACTTCACTGTCTGTTGTAATTCACCCAGCGACACTTAAAGTTTGGCTTGCATTGGTATTTCTTTTGCCTTGATATGTTGAATTTGGGACAGTCTTGGAGGACCTGATCTGTTATCTCAGGTGTAAATCCACATATGCACATGATTGCTTATCTTTGCGTCCTTTTTAGGACGAAATTTTTCTTTATTTGAAGCCCTACTCTGGCTCTTGCCAGGGGCCGCAATATAGCCTGGCCATAAATATGGCCTAAAGGCTGAACGCGGTTTCTGGGACCTTTTCACGGTGATCCTCACCCACATGGTGGCACTTTGTGTCATCGGGTGTTTATCGCTTGTGTGATTTCCTGGTGGGGTAGAAAGTCAGTCAGTCAGTACACATGACTGATTTGCCAATCTTAAATTTTGTACACATGTTGCTGAAATCAAATGTGTTGCATTGAAAGGCACAGGTATCATCCTTGCTATAAACCATAACACACTGTGCTAACCAGGCAGGTGCAGAAAAAGAAGAAGCAGAAAACTTAAGAGCAGAAAACTCTCATAAAGTTTGCTAAAACCTAACCAACAGTGAGAGATCTGTTACTACCTTGATCTAGTAAAACAAATAATGGTATGTCTCAGACACACAAAACCTGTCTCACTGGGAGGAAAGGGGTGGGGGCAGGAGGGGTTCTTACGTCTTGGGGATTAAGGGCTACATGGCTAGTGCTGTTGTCACAGTCTGTGTAAGGCAGAATCTTATTTTTGCCTCTGACAGTAGAAAAATTTCTCATCTTAGTGAGGATTCAGACCTGGATCTCTCAGATAAGAGGCCAGTATTCTGAACCACTCAGCCAGTCGCTTCTTAACAAGGCAGTACATACTGAACAGTCATGTGCACAGACTTCAGTGTGCTCTATTACCCTATTGGTTCTCACCCTTAATGAGTTGCGATCCTATTTTATTGAAGTGAAGTGACCCACGACCCCACACATTAGAGACAGGTTCATTAATGGGGTGAATGAAAACACATAGAAAATGCTTAAATTGATTTTTTCCGGTGCAGGACGCTATGACATTATTTTTTTTTTTTTTTAAAATGTTCATTTCTCACCACTGACCAGCAAAATTCACAGAAAACCCTTTGTGACACTATTGGGAGTCATAACCCATGGTTGGAAACCTAATTGTTACCCTATGAACATGTGGACTGACAGAACCGATAGTCGAACATAACTTGTATGACTCCACAGGTTTAAAACAAATTCAGACTAAACATTACTTTGACAAAGAAAGAAAGACAGACATTCACACACAATTATATTAGAGTCTTGATAAGAACATTCTTGGTGTTTTTTTTAAAAATGTTGAAAATACCATGAGCAGAGAAAACAACATATATGTGGATATGAGGTGATATGATCACTCTTTATTTTAAAAAAAAGAGAGAATACAAAAAACATGGAACAGAGAAATAAGCATAATGTGGAAAAATACTGGACAAGAATGGTAGGGGAAAAAATTGAAAGCTTAAACAGTAACATGGTTTGTAGCACAATATCTTCAGAATTCCATAATTTAAAGTATACTATTTTTACTACTACTTGATATATGTTTTTATAATTCTACCTGCATTGTTGCATCAACTGTCCCAATTGTGTATTTTTTAGTTTTGGACTTCGCCAAACTTCATAAAGTAGTCAGCATTCTGCATGCAAACTCAGTGCCTAACCTTCACCTTCCCACTTTGTTGACCTCCGGCACTGGATCACAACCATTTGTAACTCAGTGTGAGATCGCTGTTGATTATTTGATAAAACATCGACGCTTTTCAGAAGCCCAGGAACTGACAGAAGTGGCTGGCATAAGCCGTGAGAAAGTCACCATGAGTCAGGTAATCTGTTTCCCTTAGCAACAGCCAGCATACTACAGATATTTGGTTAATGTATCTGTGTAGCTTAACTTATTGTGGTGTACTTGAATCAATAATGGAAAGCATTGTTTCCTGTAGGATCAGTAATGGAAAGCATTGTTCCCTGTAGGATCAGTAATGGAAAGCATTGTTCCCTGTAGGATCAGTAATGGAAAAATTTGTTTCCTGTAGGATCAGTAATGGAAAGCATTGTTCCCTGTAGGATCAGTAATGGAAAGCATTGTTCCCTGTAAGATCAGTAATGGAAAGCATTGTTTCCTGAAGGAGAGGCTAGCATTCATTCATTCATTCATTCATTCATTCATTCATTCATTCATTCATTCATTCATTCATTCATTCATTCATTCATTCATTCATTCATTCATTCATTCATTCATTCATTCATTGTCTGGCTGTGTTATTATATGTCATGTAGGGCTTGCTGTCTGTTTCTCCATTCTTTTCTATCCTGTGCAGTCACTTTGATATCGTGGATGGAATCCCCTCCAGCACCTTTGGCTACTCTCATCAACGTTCGCATTAGGGTTCTCTTGGACGTCCTCGTTTACTGAATCCCCCTGTTTCCCATTTCAGTGCCTGTTGATTAATGTGTCGTCCCCATGTAGGATGAAATTTTTAGTTATTTTGAAGCCCTACTCTGGACTTTTGCCAGAGGCCTTAAATATAGCCGGGCCTTAAATATGGCCTAACGGCTGAACAAGGTTTCCGGGACCTCTCCATGTGATCCCCATCCTTATGATGGCACTTTGTGTCACTGGGTGTTTATCCCTTGTGTGATGTTCTGGTGGGGTCCAACTTACCCACCTACCAGTGCCTGTTTGGTGATTCTTTGTGCGTCTTTTCTCAGAATGTGTCCACTGTAGCGCCATCTTCTCCATTTTGTAAGAGGCCAGCAAGAAGAAGGACTCATTTGGCGTGAAAAAACATAAGGGAGGTAAACTGGCAATACATGGAGAATCTTTCAGCAGGCTGTAATGAGTGAAAAATCTGGCTATCAACTTGCTGAAAAATGGATGGAGACAGTCATCTGCTGCAGGATGTGTGTTTCTGCTCGAATGTAATTTTGGTCAGCCGGATGTGTCATTGATTGGAAGTACGATGTTGGGTGAACTCATTAAGGTAATGAACATATTGTAGACGTTTCTTGTGTAGCTGATCTGATTGCCCCTAGACATCAGATCTCTGGCTCATTGATGGACTGAACATCGTTGGAGCAAACAGTCATTTCATATCAGCCTGTTTAGTGTTCTCAGTGTTTTGTTCATGTTCAAGATTGATGTACTGAACGTGTCCATCGGTGTGCCTGAACAGGCTGTGTGTTATGAGCTAAAGAGAAGCAATACACCCAGGCACCCCTTGAATATGGTAAGACACCCATCCCTCCGTGCGTGTATGACAAGACACCCCCTTCCCCCTCCCCCTCAAATATAAAAATAAATATTTTTAAACAAGTTATTAAAACAAGGAGTTAGAAAGATTTTACAAGGGAAGCCAAAAGTATGCAGACGGTAGATGTACAAACTGCTTATAAACACAAAAATGTCTTTGTAATTTTTTTTATTAAATAGTTAAAACAATATTTTATTCATAATTAAACTAAAACAAAATGTAAGTTTAATGAATCACTACAAGTGAAAATGCACTCACTTTCAAAATTGCTTGGCATCCTCCTTGAAACCTCTTTGCGCCCTCCTAGGGGCACACACACCCCAGTTTGGAGACCACTAGTTAGAGTACATGAAAACTAGAGACTTTTGACTCTGTTCAAATGTTTCCACCCAGCTTTGGTTTAATATTACTCATCCTAAAGCTGTGACAAGTTGTTTGATTTACCCAATAAGTGTTTGCTGTTTGTTTGGTTAGCTGAAGGAGGAGAAAGGACAGCTGATGAACTGTGGTGTCTGGGCCTCCAAATTTGTCAGAGCTCAGTATTGGAGCAAGTGTAAAGAGCTGATCCAACAAGCCAACTGTAGATATGAAATTTGTCATCAGTTCTTTCAGGTATTGAATGTGGGTTATTAATAATACTGTGTAATGATGTGGTGTTTTGGTGTGTCAGCTTCCTCAAATTCATAATTGTTCCTTGTTGATACACAGATAAACATTAGTTTTTATGGTTCAACATCTCACACGATCACTAGTTTTGGATTATATCTGTGCACTTGGCTCAGTCATACCATGTGGTTATATCATCCAGATGTTCATTTGTTCCCTCTCTCTCTCTCTCTCTTTCTCTCTCCCCCTTCTTTTGTTGTTGTTGTGTGTTAATGTCACAATCAAGTAATTCATTTAAACATTAACAGATTTGCTTTGAGGTAGCTTTGGGTCCTAAAGGAGGCACCATTGGTTTAAACTTTTCAGGTTCCTTTCAGCTGTAAGGTTTCATGTTCATTTGAAATCTCTCTTTGGTTTTGAAAATGATTACTTTCTACCTAAGTGATCCAGATTCCTCTCATACATTACAAACGGAGAATCTTAACAGTGCATGAATTCCTTTAAGCTGATGATTCAAGAGGGTGTATCCTTAGACCACATATGCAATATTCTTTTATGAGAATTTTTTAAAAATTTTCTATTATTGCATGGATGCAACTTATTTAAGCTGATTGTTTTTTTAGCACACCTTCTATATACTATAATAGAAACTATTACAAAATCTGGTTTTCGTTGACTTTTTACAAAATGGTGGATCTGTATACCATACTGATCATAATCTTTCCTAATTTATCTATAAAAAGATGAACATAAAGGTCCTATTTACGTTTCCTTGCCCAAACATAGCATAATTGGGCTTTCATTCATGCTTTCTCAACCGTGACACGGGCTAGTCTATGTCAGCAAAAATTTTTGAATTTTCTGTTGGCGATGTTTTTAACAAATTTATCATAAAAGAGCAGAGAATCTTCTTCTTCTTCTTTTGTTGTTGTTGTTGTTGTTGTTGTCTCACTGACACCAGATTATAGCCCAGTGTCGAATAGGAGCTCAGTAACCTACTTGCATGTTGTACGAGAATTATAGTCATAATATTGGCTACCTTACCCTGTAGAGAACTTTAGCTGCAAAGTGCAACAATCATGAAGAAGATTATAATGAAAGTGACATGAGTTGGTTGAGGTCCTTTTGCTCCTTTTTGTGGATAAAATTTAGAAGAAGAAGCAGAATTTAGTTATGTGGTCATATTAGATCTAATATAGACCACTGTATTTATGCATTTTCAAATAAAGTAACAATATGTGTGTTATTCCTGTTTTTTTTCCCCCTGTCATGTCCAGGAAGAACTACAAGGAACACTTGCTGAGTTTGAGAAGGCAGTTCTGTATCAACATTGGTTTTCATTACTAGAAGCGAACTCTCAGCCAGAAATAGTGGCCATTAAAGATGCTGTTTTTAGAGATATGTGGAGACATCGAATAGCAGCCAAGGTAAGTTACTGGTAGTGCATTTCTAGTACATTGTATTGTCTTTTCTTCTATGTGTTTGCCCCTAAGAGAGCAGTTGGCATTTTGTGTTGGCATTTCCACACAGGTTGTGATGTCTCCTCCTTTCAACCTTTGACATTTAGGCTATCCTCTGAATAACGGGCACAAAAGATGGCGGCCAATGGCGGCCAAAAATAGGACCTCAGTCACATGTCAATTGCGCACTTCCGCGACTTAATTTGCGGTTTTCAGGCGATCACCGCTACCACCGAGAGTATCCCCCACGCCGCTAATGCGGCGTGGATTGGGGCTAAACTAGATGGCTGGGACTCATGAGCAGCAGCTTTGCTCGTGAGTCCCAACTAGTTTATCCCCAGTCCGCGCCGCATGAGCGGCGTGGGGGATACTCTCGGCGGTAGCGGTGGTCGCCTGAGAACCGCAAATTAAGTCGCGAAAGTGCACAATTGACATGTGACTGAGGCTCTTTTAGGGTGTTTTTGCGGCCGCCATCTTTTGTGCCCATTATTCGGAGGATAGTCTACATTTGATTTTAGCAAATTTCCCGTGTGTGTTCCGGGGCCTCATTGTGGGGAAAACAATAAATAGACCCACTGCCTACCCAAAAGCCTGTCGTAAGAGTCGACTAATTGGGAGCTTCCTTTGAAGTCGGAGTGCATCTGCCTGAGAGGCTAGGAACCAACAGTCTGCATTGAAGTAAATCAGATCTGTAAAACTGATGCACATGCAACACTCAGGTTCTGGAGCAGGGCTACAGTCCAGAAGTGGACGAACAACCAGAACTTTTTGCCAGAGTGCACAGCTGGTGAACACGAAGAAGAAGATTTCAGCAAATCCTTAATTAGTCACTTTTTTACTACATGCTGGTCAAGGAGCAGTGGGTCCATTATATCCCCCCTCCCCCCCAAAAAAATGGGTCTTTGAACCCACACAGGAAAATTGAGTTGTCTTGTTCACAGCCCATTGCTGATTTTATGAAGAATGCACGTTTGCGTAAGCTTTCAAGGAAATTACAATATGTGGGCACTTATATAATTTTCTCTCAAATTTGAAAGTGTGAGCAGTTAAGGGATTGAGAGTGGGAGACAAGATACAAGATAAGTAGAATAAACATATTGTATTTTGATTTGAATAACTTTGATAAATAAATATATAAAAATTCAAGCTGTATAATCAACACATTCTTACAGGTAGCCTTGGAAGAAATAGAACCACTGGATCAAGTTTTTGATGAAGTGAGTTTAAACACGGTTAACCAGGATGACCACAGATTTGATTTAGTTGATGTAGCTGTCATATCCCACAGTGGAACAGATGCACATGATCTCAGCACTGAGGTAAGAATACTGATTTGTTTGTAAGAATGTCTGTGTCATCAATATTTAGTTATATGTGTTCACTGTTCGCTTTCATTTAATTATGTAATTCCTATCTTTCTATAATGATTGGATGAATTCACGGGGAGTAAAGAAAAATGGGAAATGTCTAGGTAACCAATAGTATCAACGGTTATAAAACAGGAAGATGGAAGGTGACGCTATAATGGACGCATTCTGAGAAGAGATGAGCAGAGAACATGAATACAAGCACTGGTAGGTAGGTCGGTAAGTTGTACCCCACCAGGACATCACACAAGTGATAAACATCCGTGACACAAAGTGCCACTTGCGGATGAGGATCAGCTGTGGAGAGGTGCCATATTTGTGGCCCGGCTATATTTAAGGCCCCGGGCAAAAGCCAGTGTGAAATGGGAAATAGAGGAGTTGAGGAAGCGAGGATGTCCAAGAGAAATTCTAAGGCGAACACTGACGAAAGAAACTGAGGGTGCTGGAATGGATTTCATCCATGATATCGAAGAGATTGTACAGGATACATCGGAATGGAGTAATAGACCACAAGCTCTATGTGACATATAGTGCAGAATGGGACCCTGAATATGTGAATGATTATAACGATTATAGGCAACTTTCCAGCTTGGTGGTCATATGTTTGAATCCCCCATCAATATAGGCATTTTATTTTTAAAAGCTGACCTCTGCTGTAAAATTGACTGGTATCTTCTTCTTTTTAGTGTTTACCAGCTGTAACCGTAACCTAAGTGTTCTGGTTGTTCATCCACTTCTGAACTTTAGTCTTATTCCAGAACCTGAGTTTTGGGTGCACATCCATTTTACAGATCTGGCTTCTTTTCATGCAGACTGTTATTTTCTTGCCTGTCAGGCAGATGTACTCCGACTTTGAAGAAAGCATCCCTAATTAGTCGCTTGTTAGTGGTAGTAGTTCTGTTCTATTTCCCCCACAGCAGGGCCTTGGAACACTTTGGGTGGGCGAAAAAGTTGGGGGATGGGGAGAATTGCCTGGTATGATATTGACCTCATTATCCATCAAGTGCCACTTGGTCTATACAAATCTAGAGCTAGCACTGTATACCTCCTCATCATCACATACACGTAGATAATCTATTCAAATAGAAAGAAAGAAGAAGAAGATAAGTGTAGGCTGTCATATTTTGTCATTTCACACAATCACCAGAATCATGGACCAGTTCCAAGTTCTTCTCTCTCCTCCATTGATGTGGCTAAGCCATCCAGGTATTTAGCTCTTTGCTCTCCCCTTGCGCTCTTTCCATCAGTCTTGTTAGTCAGCACCAAGTCTGTCTGTTCTCATCTGTCCAACACAGACTGTGTCTGATTTTTCTAATCCATTCATGCCTTTCATTTGTCCTGAGGAGAACTGCTTCATTTGTTTTTCTGTCATTTCACAATATTCTTTGCATTCTTCTCAAAATTCCTCAAAATTTGAAAAATGGTCCTTTGCTATTTTTTCAATTGTTTTTATGGCTTCTAACATGTAATGTTGTGAATCCCCGGGGAAATCCCAGAGAGTTCTTGGGGGGTCTGAAAACATGACTGTGGAAAGCATTCTTTTGGTGGGTGAATAGAGATACGAGGAAAGCATGAGACTCATGCCCAGAGAGGATTCAGTTTGTTTTGTGTACTAATCATTCCACACCATATATTTGTTCTTGTCTACTGCAAGTTTCGACTGTATACAAGTACAAGGAACAAGATGTCAGCCTGATCTAGATATATGATCTGAAAGGTAATGGCAGAGAGAATCACAGTGTGAGATAGTTGGAAATGTCATAAATCAGCCATGTGTAGCCCCCACGAGAACACAAGTGAGCGACTGGACAGTGCGACTGTTTGAACAGGGAATAAAGATCAATAACTGCGTGTTTGTCATCTGGTGTATTCCTAGTAACTTTATGTAACTAAGAACGTCATAATAGCAATGTGACGAGTTCAGTCAAACCTTAGACAGAGCCACATTGCAAGTATTAGTGGCTAATGCTACACTTGATGTAACATATCTTCTACCTGTTTATTATAATTTGCTAAATATTTCATAACAGAATGATCATAGTATACAAAATAACGATAAGACCAATTGTTCCTTTATCACTCTTGAACTTGAAGCTATAAAAAAAAAATATGAAACCTTGTAACATACTTTTAAGAATAGACAGATCTTTATACCTGTCAAAGATACAGGCAAAGAAGGATGGAGTGTAAGAAGCAGCAATGATATTACCACTATGAAGGTTTACAGACTGAGATGGTTGGGACATGTAGAGAGAATGGCAGATAACAGAGAGACAAAAACTGCATACACCAAAGAGTTGAATGGCTATAGACCACGAGGCACACAGACAAGGATGGCAAAGAGATTATATACAGACAGACCTAGACAAAATCATGGAGATGAATGGAAGTAGGTGATATATGCAGTTGTTAATTTCAAGTGCTCGCAATGCAGAAGACAAAAAAAAAAAAAAAATTGATATCTTTTGAAAATAATTATTTATGTTTCCAACAGTTAGTGAAACTGGAATATTTATAATTATTTAGGAATTGGAGGTGCTTGACTCACTAATGGGCAGCTACCTGGAGAAGGGGAGGGTGAGTGTCTGCACTGAGGTGGCTGCTGTGTTTGGACATTACAGCCAAGAACTGGCGATTATACAGGTCAGTTTTTTAAGTAAAATTGATTTGCAGGTATGTTACCAAAAAAGAAAGTTTTTTTTTAAATGTTATCACAATCAACATCACAGCACATTGGGTATCTCCATGAGTGCTCAGTCTTCCAGTGCAGCAGCCATCACAAGTTACTTCTGCTGGCTGTTTCTTTGTGAAAATGCATCATTATCAATATTACCGATTCCATAAAGGGTAGTTTTACTAGGGATATACAAGGAGAATTCAGTAAGTAAGTCACAAATGGTTATAAGGAAGGAAAATGTAGTTAATGGTTTCTAAAGGTGTGATTAGATGACAGCAACATTGAACTTTGTCTCCGTTCATTAGGTGGCGCTAGGTGTTGCATGCACATTTGCATACAGAAACAAAATGGTGACTGTACTTACAGAGTGTACCCTCAAAGAACAATGCGCTGTTGTGTATTTTTCTTTGGGAAAAAGGGCTGCCTGTAAAGGACATTCATTGCTTTTAACAAATTTAAACAAAAAGAGATGACAGTGTGAATGCTGATTCATACTGTAAAGTTCTATTGATGCTTCAAGATTCAATTTGACGAAAACATCCAGGCCTGCTGACTTGAGTAGTACTGCTCCTTCATGACAATGCCAGACCACATTCGGCTCGGTTAACTCAGGAGAAAATTAACCATCTAGGGTGGGAACTTCTGGAACATCCACCTTACAGCCCCAACTGAACCCCTAGCAATTTCCAGCTTTTTGGTCCACTGAAAACTCACCTTGGTGGAAGAAATTTTGTAAACGACGCAGAAGTTGAATGTGAAGTGAAAATGTGGTTTAGAAAACAGAGCATGCAGTTCTATAAAGCAGGTTTGGGAGGACTGATAAAATGATGGGACAAGTGCATAAATTATGGTGGAAATTTTGTTGAAAAAAAAAAGGAATGGTTTTCAAGTTGTTTTCATTTTCTTTTTTTTTTTTAAACAACCATTTGTGACTTACTTATTGACTTGCTTTCCATGCCCCTATGGATGACCACCCCAGCTTTTAGCAGTCTTTTAGATTGCCAGGCTAAGTGAGAACACTGCTCTGGGATGCTATTACGAAAAACAGATAGCACCGTAGAGGTGACTGTTTATCCCGGCGGATACTCCAGACAGTGTTAGCCACACCAAAGTACATTTCCATCCTCCACTGCATGGAGGTACCACTGAAATTTTCCCCATCAGAACATGAAGCCAGGATGTCGTTTCCCACATTCTCCTGTAACGCACCATGCATGTCAAAATAGGAAATAAATAGGATTGTTGTAGGAGTGGCTACCCTGCCTGTAGAAAAAATTTAGCTGCAAAATTCAACCAGCCGTGAGTAAATCTAATGAAAAGTAAAGAACCTTAACTCAGCTAGAATGAAGGATGGCTCTTCTCTTGTAAGGGATACGATGCAGAGAAAACCATAAACGTCTCGATCATAGACATTCTTTCAGCTTGGACAATTTTTAGTGGGTACTTGGAATGTTAAAACTATTTATAAATAGGGAAGAATAAGTAAGGGCAGTTAAATTTGATTATTTAAGTATTTTGGAGTCATGGGAAAACAAGATAGCAGAATCATAATAAAAAAACAACATTTTGCCTACTTTTTCCAGCTGCCATGGTATTTTTTTTTTTTTTTTGCACAACCTACCTGCAAACAGGGTACCCTTCCTTGGTAGCTTTGAGAAGAGAGGGTGTTTGATCTTAAATATACACACTGAATTAAGGATTGAATAACTATCACGCAAATATTCATGTTATTATTTTTGTTGTTTGTTAGTTGCCTAACCTTTACAGGTTGTTGCAGAACCAACCCCAGCATTTTTGGGCAGTTTTGGTTTCTAGGCAAATTTACGACCAGCAGTTCGATTTGTATAGTATGTGGTGTAAGTAAATAAAAAAGATGACATACAGTGCAAAGGGCAATGTTGCAGAAGTTAAAGAATTTGTGCTTTGTAATGATGCTGTCAGCAGACGACTAGCCGTTCTGCTGAGAGAGACTGAGCCATATGGGATAAAACCTTCAACCTTAAATAACAATTGCCTATGCATATTTGAGTAATGGCTATCTGGGACTTTATTCAGTTAATTCTCTTGATTCATTTAGTTTCTTGTTTCACTTAATTCACTTAATTCACATAGTTCACTTAATTCACATAGTTCACTTAATTCACATAGTTCACTTAATTCACATAGTTCACTTAATTCACATAGTTCACTTAATTCACATAGTTCACTTAATTCACATAGTTCACTTAATTCACAGTCACATAAGTGATTAATTCAGAAACGACCTTGGCTGCCAGGTCGAGTACCAGGTAAAAGTCCTGGGAAGTAAAGGTGACTGGTTTGATGCTATCACATCACCCACCGAGTGCCAATTGGTTTATAAAATATAGGTCTAGCCCTATATGCCCAATACACTTGAAGGCAGGGAACGGGGCCCTTTACTTACTTACTTAAGTCACTTTGTTCACCTCATTAATCTGGTTAATTATTTCTCTTAATAATGAGATCTCCTTTTTTAATGTCCCACCAGACTTGTATTGCCCTTGCCACCAGACAGACCAGTATTGAAAATATTGAACCAGCAATGAAAAGGCTTATTGCCAAGAGCTCAACCAAACGTGTGAGGACACCCTCAGTCACCTTGAGCCGGTCTTTCAGTAGTAAGTTGAAGCCATGCATATGTCTGTTGTATGCCTGGTGCAAAAGTAAGTTAGTAAAAAAAAAAAAAAACAGCGAGTAACAGAACATTTGTGTATACTTCCAGGTATATTGGGCATTTAGACTAGACCAATCTTTTATAGATGAGTCGGCACTCGATGGGGGATTTGGTCAACATTACACCAGCCACCCTAATTTTCCATTACTTTACCTGGTACCCATTTAAGGCTGGGTCGACCTGAGAGCCAAGGTCAACTTTGAAAAAAAAAAAAAGTATGCCGCCATCTTGACCTGAACATACGACCTTGGGATCTGCTGGCAGGCGTCTAGACGCTACACCATGGTGGCTGCCTGCGAGAAAATAGTAATAACTACCTTATTCTATTCTCTCTTCTTCTACTGCTGTTGATATTAACCTCAACTTATGGCAACACTCACCTCCTTGGGAATTTGAAAACATGATAACTGACCTGCAGGCATGCATGCTGGGTAATGCACTAGTGCAGGTCAGTTGTACTTTTTAAACTCAAGTTTTGTTAATCTCCTAATTGTAGTTATAACTTCACGGCAAACAGGTTACCATATGTTTGCGCATGCCTATTTATTTCTCTTTCATTAAGCAGGGCTGAATATAAGACCACATGATCACCAACCCAGCAGGTGCAGGTGTACTGGCTACTTTGTAATGGCTCCCTCTTATTCTTTTTCTTCTTGTGATTGCTTCCATAATTTAATGAAAAAGTAACTTTTTTTTAGTTCCTCTTTAGTTCTATGAAGGCTCTCTCAGAACTATTGCTAAAATGAATGATTAGTGTTTAGAGAGGACTATCTTCACAACACTCAGGAGAGCTCCATAGGTGTTCTGATCTTCTCTTCAGTAGCTGCACAAGTGTAAAATGACTAATCATATTCGTTCTCTGTTGATTAACAGACCTCTTTTCCCTTGAGTAAAATGACCATGCCTGGCTGCTCCAGGATGCCTTATGGCTCACTTACCAAAGTACATTATATTTCAGTAAACAGCATCAGCACTGTAGCATCGAGTGTGATAGATGTCAGCACTAGTGAGGCACAAGACATCATCACAGTCATGGAAAAGTTGTACACTCACTGTGACAAGGGAAGTCAAGTGTGTTTGAGGATAATAACATGCTTCAAAATTGCACAGGTACAGTTATTTCTGTTGATTGGGTTTTTTATTATAGAAACATTTTTATAACATGCTTCAGAATTGCACAGGTACAGTAATTTCTGTTGATTGGTTTTTTTTATTATAGAAACATTTTTATAACATGCTTCAGAATTGCACAGGTACAGTAATTTCTGTTGATTGGGCTTTTTATTATAGAAACATTTTTATAACATGCTTCAGAATTGCACAGGTACAGTAATTTCTGTTGATTGGGTTTTTTTATTATAGAAACATTTTTATAACATGCTTCAAAATTGCACAGGTACAGTAATTTCTGTTGATTTGGCTTTTTATTATAGAAACATTTTTATAACATGCTTCAGAATTGCACAGGTACAGTAATTTCTGTTGATTGGGCTTTTTATTATAGAAACATTTTTATAACATGCTTCAGAATAGCACAGGTACAGTAATTTCTGTTGATTGGGCTTTTTATTATAGAAACATTTTTATAACATGCTTCAGAATTGCACAGGTACAGTAATTTCTGTTGATTGGGCACTGTCTGGATCTTTAAGGGAGGCAGAGAAAAGGAACGTTGTAACCTACCAAGCATGCTTTAGAAGGTGACTAAGGAAGGTTGTTGCCAGACTGGACACTTCATCCTGTAGACAATTTAGCTGCAAAATCTAGTCTGTTGGGAACATGTCTAAAAGGGACCTGATGTGAGTTGTTTGAAAGATGTGCTTTGTTAAGATAGGGCAGGCAGAAGAAGAGAAAGAAGAGGAGGAGGAATAAGAAGAAGTATTGTATCTTATTTGATATCAGTATTTGATTCTTTCTGCTGGTGATATTTGCTCCTTTCTACTGCTAACATTTGCCCCATCTACTGATGCTATTTACTCTGTTTTTTTTAAATATTTGCTCATTTTTTGCTGCCGCATCCAATGTGAACAGTAACTTTGTGCGGCTGAGTTTGCCTTTCCTCATCAAAACATGCCATAAGTAATCTTTTATAGAAAGCTTTTTGAGTGTTACAGTTTTTTTCCAGGGTAGAAAATTGTATGGCCTACTCTTTATTGAATACTTTTCTCTTTGGTTCATTCTTACTTTGGTGTTGACTATTCTAAAAGAGTCACAGTGAGTGAGTTGTTTGTATGCAAGCCTAGCCCAGCACTTTGATCTTCAAGTTCATTACCTGTTAGTTATAGTATTTAAGTTGAATTAAGTTGAGTCAAGAATTGACATCACAGCACTTGGGGCATTCCCATGTGCGCTCCGTCCCCATCTTCAGCAGCCAGTGCAGAGTTCTAATATTGATGGTACCGGTCACAATCTGGTTATATGTCCATCTTGCCTTTCCTCTGAGTGTAGCCGGCCAGACCCTTTGGTTACATCCTGGTGCCTCATTCTCTCCAGGCCATAATAATCTTCTTTCTCCACTGATTCCGTTGTTTGTTCCCAAAGGGCCTTGAACACATCTGCCTTGTCATGTATCAATTCACCACTTAGTGGTGCAGATCCAGTCAATCTGTCTGCCTATTCATTACCCACTATGCCTGCATTGCCTGGAGATAAGATCTAAAGTATGCTCCCCATCCATGACCTTTCCAGTGAAGCTTGCCACTCTGCTCAAAGCATCCCTGTCTTTACCTTTCTCAGCATGCTTTCAGTCTGTTACATTTACAACATGTGTATGTATTTTGTTCTCTAACCACCGGAGAACTGCAGTTACGGCCTCCACCTCCATTCTCATGCTAGATGTTGTGATGTCGTATACTAGGCTGTCTTGCACTACAAAATTTCCACTGGCTTTCGCTATGAACCCCCAGGAATTTCTCTTTCCTCTCAACACCGAACCATCTGTATAGATAATCAGAACACCTTGGCGTGAATTGTCCTGAATCAACTGTTGGACTTCCACCTCCATAGCACCCACTGGCCACTCTCTACACAGGTCTGACTTTTCCTCTGGTACTCTGACCCACTCTGCTCCTCGCCCAATGTTCTCAGCATGCTTACTTGTCTTATTGTGTCTTCTGCTTGAGCTATCCACGATTTCCCCTTTTCAGCCTCTGTCGCTTACCTACAGCCAAAGCTTCATTCAGTGGATGCTCTTTGTCTGCAGCTACTCTTGAGGTGTGACTTAGCCTGCAGCGCCTTTAGCCTAGTTGAAATAGTCGTCAATGCAAGGATGAATCACATGCACACAATCGGGGTGTCTTTTGTACATCCCAGGATCACCCGCACAGCTTCATTCTGTATACGCTCCAGTTTCTCTATTTGACTCTTCAAGACAGTGAGTAACCCCAATCCATAATCAATCACTGCGATGATTAAGTGATAGTAAAGTGTGAACAGTATTCTCTGCTCCATGTCCATCACTGCCATTATCTTTAGTGCATTAGGACCTTTTTGAACCTTTGTCACAACCGCCTCTATGTGATCCTTGAAAGACAAACTTCTGTCAAAGGTGACACCCAGGTACCGCAGTCTCTTGTCTCTTTTGATATCCCTGCCATTCATTTTGAGTCTGGGAACATCCGCTCTAACAATCCTGTTGTCCAAAGAACATCACAGGATGGTAGCCTTTTCTGGGTTGATTTCAGCACTCATCTCTGTACACCAGTCGATCACCTTATCTACTGTTGCCTGTAACTCTTGAGCTATTTGATCCCGATCTCTCCCCTTCCTATAACTTTTTATAGTATTTAATTTTTTTGAGAGCTTATAACAGCTCTGAGATATATTTACCATCATGAAGGTTATTTGTGGGAAGTGAAAGTGCTGATGAAGTGAACTGGTTTCTTCATCTTATGATGTATCGCCTATTATGTGGGAAGACCTAATTTTTCTTCTCCTTCTGTCTTTTATCTCCCAGTGGAGCATAAGCTTTTGAGTAACTCATGCCAAGTCACCCTGTCCTTTGCCATCCCATGCACCTTACCTTATATCTTCCCCATTCTTTTGACTTCACACTCAGATTTGCATCTCCATATGTGTTTGGTTTATTTTTATTCCTTCAATCTTGTTGGTTCCTGTGCAGAGACATTCTAGTAATAGTTATGAGGTTTCCTTAGCATGTTTCTTATCCAATGCCAGCGTCTTTTCCTCACCACTTGATTCACTAGAATTTGTTTCATTCTCTCCCAGAGCACCTGACTCTTCATACGCCTTTAGCAGTGTTGGCTAAGAAATGTCTTTGTAATTATTTATATCATTAACAAAGGAAAATAATAAGAACTGGGTAATTGGCAAGATGAAAATATCTGACACAGTTATCTATTTATTCCTAGGAATGCCTATACTTTTTTTCCCCTTCCAGATCCTGGAGCTTGAGTATAAGGATGTTGTGATGAACTCTCCCTTCGACTCACTGAGGCAGCTCCTGAGAATTAATGACCCCAACAAATTTGCACTGGCCAGAGATTTTCTTGCCACTAGTGGCCTCTCAGATGATGAGGTAAGTTGTACAGCTGTCGTATTTCTGTTAACCTCCATATATTTTGTTTCCAAGGGGAACTTAAAATGATTTAAATGTGGGAAACTTTAAGTTACACAGAAAAAAAAAAGGAAAAATAAAGATATAAACAGGATCACTTGAAATAATGTCTGTTACATTTGCATGCAAAACTAGGGGTGTTTCTTTCAGAGTTGAAGTACATCTGCCTGAGAGGCAAGGAACCAAAAGTCCGCATATAAGTAAACCAGTTCTGTGAAATGGATGTCCGTGCAAAACACAAGTTCAGGAACAGGACCAAAGCCCAGAAGTGGATGAACAACCAGAACTTTCTGCTAGAGTTTACAGCTACTATACGCTGGAAGAAGAAGAAGACATAATGGACAGTAATGCCAAAATACTAACATCTCTGGACCAAAGGGTTAATTTTCTTTAAAGCATATTTTTCTTGCATAGGTATCAAAATAGTTGATTTCATCCATATTAAATTGTTGCCACATTGATCTTTTCCATGTTTTTTAATGTTTGTGGTCAATTGTTTGGCAGGTCACTGGATTTTTGGCTGATTCAATTGTGGAGGTTCTGAAAATATTTGTCAAAGGAGATGCTACAGGTAAAGGACTTGATTTTCTTATACTGTTATGTTACTGTGCAATTCCTGTTAGGTTCATTAAATGTCAGTTTCTTGTTTGCTTACCATTTAGCAGAAGGGGGCAGTCATAATTTTTTTGGGGTCACATTATAAGCAAAGAAGGACTGAAACAACAAGAAACATTTATGGAAAGATAGATAAAGAAAACACTGGGAGAAGATTTTTAACAGCTTGTCACTGATGCACAGAAAGGTGTCAGCTCAAGAACTGTTACTCTTGGAGATTGAGAAATGATAATCAGAGGAAAGGCAAGACGGACATATAATCAGATTGTGACCGGTACCATCAGTGTTGGAACTCTGTGCTGGCTGCTGAAGATGAGGACAGAACATGCATGGGAATGCCCCGAGTGCTGTGATGTCAATTCTTGACTTAACTCAACTCAGCTTAACAATCTACGCCATTTGGTAAAGCACTTGATGATAATGATGATTTTATTTTATGCTGTTATTTTTAATGCAAGTTTTATTATTTTTTTAAAAGTGACCACTTGGGAATATATTTGTATTCACTAAACCTCATTTAATAACAATCTATGATTATATATTTGTTATTCATTCAAACATTTATATTCACCATTCTTTCCTCAGTTTGGTCTTAAAAGTACACTTGTTCATATTTATAAACCTTTTACATTGCCTAAAATTTTGTTTCCTATACTTTTTCTTCTTCTACCCTTAAAAGAAAGTTAGCATATTTTGTGGTGTACAGCTAGGCTGTGATATCCGCACCTTTCTGCCAACACATCTGTTTTGAACAAACTTTTAATTATTAACCTGTTAACCCCCACAGCTCCCACCCTTTTCTTTTCCTAAAATTAAAAACAGTTGGAACCCTGAACTTGTAGAAGGAATACTTATTATTTTCCTTCAGTAAAATAATAATTTTTTTTGTAAATCTATAGACCTAGAAACAGATATAAATGGCGGCCACACTGAACTGATTTTCAACCCATCGGATGGCATGGAAGTGTTCTCACAGTTTTTGAAGCTTTGTGAGAACACAGCTTTACTCGGAGACCGCATCTTGCAGGCTGTCTCATCATTCTTATCCAACACTCAGCAGCAGATATCAGCAGCTGGTGAGTTGTGCTTTACTTTTGAAATCGCTCCATTTACAGCACATTTCTTTTTCTTGTTTCCTCACATTGCTGAGCTAGAGAGCTTGGGTCCCCTTCACTTTCTCTCTCCCAACCAACACAAGGTGTGTAGAGGGACTTTGTGATCTCCAGGTATGGTGTCCGTCTCAAGTGCTGGAGGTCCTGGGTTCAAGCCCCGGTGAAGGCTGGGATTTTTTCTCGTAAAAAATCAATTGGCAGTTGGAAATTGAAAAGAGTAGCCTAACGGTGCTGCCTGGGCAAAATTTGAAGTTAAAAATCTATCCAAAGTATTTCAGGATCCTCTCTGGTGCAAGGGAGTTTGTGTACTGTGCTGAGATTCTTCGGAAGGCTTGAGTTATAAGTAGAACGGAGCACTTATGAGTTACACCCATGTGTCATGATGTTGATCTGTCAAATAAACATAAACAAAACAAACCATTGTGTGTCACCACAACACATGTGTTCTGTTTTTCATGTTCGGTCTGTGTATGCTAAAGAAATATCGCTTAATATTTTACAGTGCAGCACAGTGTATTTTGTGTCTTTGAAAGTGACACACTGATACTTTGATGCTGTGGGTATTGTGCCAGATTTGGTTTCTGCTGTGAAATTATCTGAGACTGAAAGATCAAATCCTAAGATCTCATACTTTGTTCCAGATGTATTAGTGTTACCTTTCCTTTGGCGTAGACAAGGCAGGCTAAAAGTAGGATCATGCTAAGGCATGGGCAAGGCATGGCCTCTGCAATACAGCTTTAAGCTATGGAGAGGCGGAACATCATCACTAGCCTAAAATTACCCATTGCCATTGGCTGTAATTTCCTTGCCTCCCTACAGCACAAAATAACACCATTGTCTGGAAATACAGAAAGATGCCAACAGTTTCAAGTCTATGCCTTTTTTTTCTTAGAAAGCCTTTCACTTTGTACTACCTGGACAGTGATCAAGCAGTTAGAAAGTTGAACTGAAGCTTTGGAAATGTTGATAAAGTGATGAATAGGACAAACAGTAGCAGATTTTCATGGGAGCAATAACAAGATATCTCAGGGAACAACGTTAACACATCACCCATCAAATGCTGATTTGTCTATAAATATAGTTTTAAAAAAAAAGTAAAGGACCCTTTTCCACGCCTTTAGGCGTATAGGGCATATAGGGCTAGACCTATATTTTTATAGACCAATCGGCACAAGATGGGTAATGTGGTCAGCATCACGCCGGCCGCTTTTACTTCCCGGGACTGCACCGGGTACCCACTCAAGGCTGGGTTGACCTGGGAGCCAAGGCCATTTTTGAAAATAGTCCGGCTCCGCCAGGGAGCGAACCCACGGCCTTCCGATCTGCGGCAAGCGTCTAGCCGCTCAACCACGATGACCCCCCCCCCACATATATATATAGACTGGGAGTAAAACATTTCAGATCTCATAATTTGATACTGAGTTGTCATTATCTTTAAGTTAAAAAAATAAGAAAAAAAGTTATATTTAGCAGTATTCTGAATTTCATAAATGTATTTATACAAATAGATCCAGCAGTTAACAGAAATATTTAGTGGCCTTGATTTATTTGTTATTATTTTATATTCATGTGCCGCAAATTCAGATTTGGTTCCTTTCAGTTCTGACAATTCAGACAGAGTTGATAATTATGGCCCACGAGTGCTACACCATATCTTCCAACATGGAGGGAATATCCCACGTATTGCGTACTGCAAGAGTGTGCTGTGATCGTATAGCGGAAGCTCAAGAATACTCTCTTATGGTAAAGATTTTTGTGTAAATTCTGAAATGTTTATTTTTATTCTTTTAATTTTTTTATACATTTTTATTCTTTTAATTGGATTCTCTCTCTCTCTCTCTCTCTTTCTCTCTCTCTTTTTAAATGAATTAATTTTTTTTTATAAGCACTTGAAATGTTTTGAGATTCAAGAATTAACATAAAGATACACGTAGTCCCATAACACATACTGGGGGGGGGGGGGGGGGGAGGGAAGTTAAATCGTTAAACTTTCATGGAAGGACTAGCACTAGCACATAAAACCCGCCAACTTTCTCAGTCTTCTGCTTGATGAATACGTGTATCATAACTGGGTTCTGTCCATTTCTTGATGTTGTCATTCCAGATTTTTCTTTGCCCTCCTCTTCTTCGACCACCCCCCAATGTTCCATATGTCTTTGCAATCGAATTATGTCTCACCATGTGCCCAAACCAAACTAGCTTGTGACATTTCACCACTCCCAAGAGAGGCTCCTGATGTCCCGCAAATTTTTATATTTTGTCTATGACATATTTATTAGTTTTGTGTTATAAATAACTAATTCGTAAAATACGTCTATAGCATTTACATTCAAAAGCCTGAATCCTCCTTTCCATTTCCAAAGTGAGAGTCCAACTCTCACACCCGTATGTCGTATGGCAGTTTTGTCGCGCACCTTACTGGCAGGATATTTTCACAAATCCCTCAGGTGCTCTGAGACAGGAGTGTTTTCTTCTTCTTCTTCTTGTTCACCGGCTGTGAATTCCGACGGTAAGTCGCGGTTGTTCGTCCAAAATGGACATTTGGCTTTTACCTTGACCTGAGTTTTGCGTGTACATCCGTTTTACTGGCTTATTTGTTTGCAGTTCTCGTTCCCCGCCTCTCCGGCAGATGTACTCCGACTTCGGAGGAACAGGAGTGTTTTGAATGGTGGCTCTCGTTCGTCTAGAGGCCTAACCCTCGGTTCAAACTTTCCATTCAACCTGTCTCAGTGATGAGGTGACACGAGCTCTGACTCCACAGGGTTATTATGGAGACTTGGGTACCTCTCGGCCAGACGTCCCCACCACTTTTATGCCCCCAGACTGGGAAACAATGTAAACCCAGTCGAACAAGTAATCAACAGCGAATTTGACAAGACAACACTGCCTTTCTGAATAAGGCCATGAATTTCAATAAAACGAAACTTTTCTGCTAACCAGAAGACTGATGAACTATAACATTAATGTATTAACTTCACCATAACAAAGTTGACGAAAAGTAGCGTGATGAATTCAAAAGGAAAGTTCAAATCTTTGAAAATCTAACACAAGAGAAAGAGTTTTTCTACATAGACACATAGACTTCCTGGATCATCATGGCGGAGGTGAAGAACTGATTACTAAGGCCCATTTGGAGTCGAGCCATTTCAGGACTATTACTTCGACTTATCTGATTAGATCTCGTAGCTCCTCAGGATGCCAGAATGGAGTTTCACACCACCGTACTTTACAGCACGACTTCACAGGAACGAAGCAGCTTCTCAGGATGCCGGAAAGGAGTTTCTCACTGCCGTACTTCACAGCACGACTTTACAGGAATGAAGCAGCTTCTCAAGATGCCGAAATGGAGTTTCACACTGTCGTACTTCACAGCACAACTTCACAGGAACGAAGCAGCCTCTGGCAATGATCAAGGACAATCAACTCGAAATCGGAAGACGTCGACTCAAGTATCGTCCACACATTCAGCACAGCAATTCACCAACCGTCAATTGCTTATTGGGTGGTGGCAGATGGAACCACTCTACCAGACACGGACACTTGTTGGATCTTCAGAAATCCTGAAAAACGCAAAGCAACACCCATGAGTGAACCGTACCCAACGCACCCAGTTAATCAAAGTCCTTACCCCCTCCCAATGCTCAGATATACTTGAGGTTATACCAAACCATGAAGGTTGGTTACCTCTATCTTGGAATCCATTTAGTTTCCTAGAGTAAGCACTAGATCATTAACTCGAATAGTTCCTGGATTCAGTCCTGTAGTGAAGGCTAGACAGATCTTCATTATTTACCCTCCCTTCTAAAATACCTTTTCCACTAATAGGGAAGATAAGGGATAGGCGATGAAGTCAAAACTAAGATCGACTGAAATATTCACCGACAATAGTACGACAGTCTAAGCTTGTTGTGGTTACGAAGTCACCTAGCAACAGCGGATATGACGTCATGCCCGCCCAGAAGCTTCTTGTCATTCACAACGGTTCAGCGACTTACCAAGTTCTGATACCGAATAACAGCAAATAACTAATCATACAAAGTTATCAATACCACAAACCCACTCCAGATATGTGGATTGATTGATCCGAAGAGGTTTAAAAGGCCATTTCGAAGAATTCTCCGAGAAATGTCAGCCGAAAGTGCATTCCAATCCGGAGCTCCCTTCGCCGTCTTCCATCGCAAGAATCGTAGACAAACAGATTCGCATTATCAATCTGCTGACCTTACTTACCTACATCACAGACACTTTGAACACAAATATTCAATTAAAAGCCCCTATGAAAACTCACCCATGATAAATAAAAAGAGAATGAAGAATCTTGTCTTTTTAACGGTCAATTGGCGACTCACAAGGAAAGCGACTGCCTCAAAGACCGGACCATAGAGAAGTGACGCATACAAACACGTTCCCTAACTACAGCAGTTAGCGTACGAATCCCGCTCACGAATGCAGTGCAGTGGTCAGACAATTTATTTAGAATAGGCGTAGAAAATGTGTCCTAACGTGTAATTCGACACTAAAAGCCTAAAAGAGTCAATATCATAGTGATTTATAGGGATTTTTACTATCAGGACTCCCCCACAACAAACGAACTATATAACTATGGTCGGCCCATACTAAATCATAGTTACGATGACGATTTTGGGGGTGTTCAGCCTGTGGACCTTCCTACTGCGGCAGATGTGTGGATTCTGTCATGCGACACCGTATAAGAAAATAGATAACACCAGTGAATTGTAAATGTTGAGCTTGACTGAGATTCTGATTTTGCTCTTCCACATCGTATTTAGCTGGGACATCGCGGCTGTTGCTATATCAAGTCTTGTCTTGATCTCTTTGGTACAGCTGCCATCGTTACACATGTGGAAGCCAAGATATTTAAAGGTTTCAACTTCTTCTAGTTTTTTTTTCCATTTTATCTGTATGTTGGTGGGTCCTTGGTTATTGTGACTATTTACCGGGGGCCAGGCTTTCGTCGGTGTACCAAATTCTAAGCTCCCAGGTTGGGGTGGTTGGGTGGTGCTTTTTACCGCTGTTGGTAGTGGTGTTTATTTCTACTGCCGTATACCAGGCGGCTGGTCAACGGAATTTCTGTAGTGGAATGCTGACTCTTGACCATGGGTATTTGTAAAAAAATTAGGGTTCTTTCCTTCAAAGTTGGAGTGACTCTGCCTGAGAGGTAAAAACGGAAAGTCTGCGCAAAAATAAGCGAGATAAGTAAAACAGATGTGCATGCAAAACTCAAGTTCTGGAACAAGACAAAAGTCCAGAAGTGGATGAACAACCAGAACTTTCCTATGGCGTTTACATCCAGTGATTACAAAGAAGAAGAAGAAATACTCAGTTTTGCTTTCTTCAAAGACATAATTTTTGAAGATACATTACTCTGTTTGTGATTATTTTGTGTATTTAATCTCCTAATTTCCCTTTTCCCCCCAAACACTTTCAGATTCGGCTATTGACAGGTGTGGGGAGGTACAGCGAAATGTTGTATATCTTCCATGCCTTGCAGCAGCACCATCAGTTTGAATTACTTCTCCGCAAGGGAATGGACAGGGTGAGTTTTTCTCCTTTCATATTGGAGGTCTCCATGGCCAAGGGTCGAGCTGCTGCTTGCCTCACAATGTGTGGGTCATAGGTTCAAACACTTGGTTTCAACTATTTCAGTCCCAGCCAAAGCAACATATGTGATCAGCTATTACCCATGTGTACCAAGCAACCAGCAATGTGATTTGATGTTTATTCTAAGCATGCTACAGAAACCTGGCTAGTTACTGCCCCAACTAAGTAGAAATGCTGCTACATTTGGAACAGTCAGGAGGTCACATTTTATATTAACTGCAACTGTTTCTACCCTAGGGAATATTTGTTAAAGTCTTCTGGTATGTAGAGAGTAAGAGATCCCTGGAGATCATTGTTGGGGCTGCAATGTTTGTGCTTTGCACACATTCTCAGCAGGAAACCACCTGCTGTGCGGAAAGAGACCAGATTTCCTAAAATTTGGTGCAATAAATTTGATCCTCTCACTTGTAATCATGTTAGTAGTACTTTTCAGCACCTTAAGTTTATATTGGTTTGGTTTGATTTCTGTTTACATGGCTGACATATATCCTTACAAATGCCCCAGACTCTTCCCATAAATCACAAGAGAAGAAAATTAGCACAGTGCATCAAATTCATATGACCAGTGAGAATCTAAATTTGAGTATGCAAGAACAGTACATGCTGTTACTATTATTTTGCGGCTGCATTTTATATAATTAGGAAATTTGTTACCCTGCTAACACTGGCGGTCACATATGAATGTTTGTCTTATATTTCAGCCAAAAGGCAAAGAATTAATTTTGCTTGCTTTATTTGTTTTGTTTCTTTAGTATGAACCTGACAAGACACAGCAAAATATGCCAGGCAGTAAATTGTGCAGTTAATTATTTTGCTAAAAAATGTGCTACTGGAAAATATTCAATCTTTCTGTTTCTCTCAGGAGGACAAACTGAAAGTGGCCATTCTTGATTACTTGAAGCGATATCAACCTGATGATAATGAAGCATACACAATGGTAGCTTTGAAGTTTACCATGTATCGGGACATTGCAGGAATGTTGGAAACTTGTGGGTACAGATCCTTGAAACATCTCAAAGACAAGTCATTAGGTTTGTCAAGCTGAAATACTCCATCTGTGTCTGTTCATGTGCATCTGTTTCTTTTTGTTATTCCTCTTCTTCTTCTTGTTATACTTTTGAACTTCCAGCCAAAATGGCTGATAGCTGGCTGACTGCTCATGCTTTGAACGGCTGCTTCCAGCTAGATTTTACTGATGCTAATTTCTCATTTCTGAACTGGGAGTCCAAAGGCCTTGCAAAGCTGAGTGCTTGATGTGACACTGTGAGCAGTGGACTGGATGTGGAATGTTTTTATTGTGCCTGCGGTGTGTTGTTGACCACAGTAATATGGGCAGTTACACTCAGAATGGCATGTACAGGCTTTCATGATTGGCCGTCTTTGCCAGCAGTAAGCTGCAATTCTTGTGTGGGAGAATCAGTGTTGGCACATACTTCGCGTGTGCAAACTTCAAGATTTTGCTGGGATTGACAGGGTTTTCATTAGTTTTCAGATGGCACAATGAAAGACATTTTGTGTGATGTACACTTGCCACAGTAGCAGAGCAGTTATGGGGTGCCATGTCTGCAGTAATGGTAAAACCTCGCCCAACGACTAATTTTAATCATGATTAGATCAAACTTTAGTGTCATAGATCAGCTCTTTATTCTGCTTGCTGTTACGTCACTTGGCTAACCTATCCAGGCATTTTTCACTTTGTGTTGCTTTTGTCCTTTTTTCCCTCAAGCCTACCAGTTACCTTTAAGTCCATTTTCATAAAATATCAAAAGAATCTTGACTGTCATTGTTTAGTTTATGACAAAATTTTTGTGTTTTTCATTTGCTTCTGAAAAGACAGTCTCAACCCTAAGCTGTACAGATGAAACCTGGCAGTGATGTATGTGTTGTTTTGTCAGATGAAGGTCATTCCGAGGTCACATGAAGAACCAGACTCAGATATCCTTGAGCAGTCGATTAGTTTGTCCCATCCAGTTTTACTGTACCATCCAGAGATTTAAAAAAAAATCAGTCTGATTAAGTAGGCAGATCCCAAATACCCCATTCAGCCCCCATAGAGAAATTATAATTAGGGCACCGGTAACGCCACACCAGCCAGGTGTCACCTGCAGTCCTATGCAGGTAAGGGCATCAATATCCTCGGCAGTTAATGGAAGTAAATGTTACTGATTTGATGCAGGTTTAAAAGTTTCAATTTTATTTTATTTGTACCGTCATTTGGCTGATACAACAGAAAGAAAAAAAAACATGATAGGTCAAAGAAAAATTAAATTTTATCAAATTAAAAAAATTACATGCAGTGCATCCCTTTATCAGAACTTTCTTGAAGTATGACAGAGAATTAAAACATGACCATGAATCATGACATTCAATAAAATTAAGAAAGAAAATCTGTTGTACCAACAATTTTATGAATGACTGCTGGTTGTGGAAAGGCATGAAACCATATTTTAGTAAAGTATGTAATGGAAATAATGTTTTTATGCATATTAGTTTGTTTAGGCATTGGATTTGAATATTTTGACTTCCTGAGTGGGTTCTGAGGCCCCATTGTGGGGAGAACAAGAATAGACCCACTGTATCCCTAAAAAATCATGTCGTAAGAATTGACTAATTGGGGGGGGGGGGGGGGGGGGGATTTCCTTCAAAGTTGGAGTGCATCTTCATGAGAGGCAGTAGACTAACAATCTGCATACAGATAAGGCAGATATGTAAAACAGATGTGCACATAACACTTAGGTTCAGGAACAAGACTAAGGTCCAGAGGTGGATGAAAAACCAGAACTTTCCACTGGAGTTTACAACTGGTGAACACAAAGAAGAAGAAGCAGTATGTTGACAAAGAAATACCTAAAATCTGTGAGAAAGGGAAGCATTATCTACCAATTCTAAATCACAGTCATCTATATGCTGTGCTGAAGGATCAACTGATAATATCTGACATATATTAAGTTTCTACAGATGAGAAATTTTAGTATTGGACTTGCAAGCCCAACTGTTTCTAAGGTTGGATAGGGAAATGAGATCTTTGCAAAACAGTGGAGACGGTGCTTTGCTACTAAATCAGATACATGCAAGCTCTTCACAGAGATCAAATCATAAATCAGACAGTTGATTCATGATAATTTCCACCCAGGTGATAGGATCATCTGTACAGTTAGATCTGTGTTGAGAAGCACACAAAAAGTGCATGGGGTTCATTGCAAAAGCGAATGGGCGTCAAATAGCACAACAGTATACAACACCACAACATTCAGTTTGAGGATGAAGGTTTGTCCACAGCAGCGTTTTGCTGGGCTGAGAACCAGCTGCACACAAATTTGTGACTAACAGACTCACAAAATATGCTAAGAAAGGCATGCTCTGTTCAGAATGGAAATAATCACTATGGAGGTTCTTTTGGATACTTTCTCCAGGGCATGCAGGGAAATGAAAAGAGAGACAGACTGGCTAATGCTGCACCACTGGGTGATGACTTAATGCATGGCAAACCAGATGTTGTCAAGCTCCTTTTGGTGCCAGGAAATACTGGGGAAGCATAAACAGATTATTACAATGTGGAAAGAATGGTGTGGCGGGAATGACCATGGTATCTGACCAAGAAACCCAAGATGGACGTTCAAGCAGACAGCATCTGGTACTGTTGAAACTGGACTCTTTGCTGGCTGCTGTAGATGAGGACAGAGCATATATTGAAATGTCCAGAGTGCTATGTTGTTGGTTCTTGACAGAAGCACAGAACAACCTGAATGTCAGTTTATTGGACTGAAACAGTTACAGTTCAGTTTTCCAGAGGATTCACAACCAAGCTGCCAGTTTAAGAATGTTAAGTCAGCTTTACTGCAAGCAAATGGTTTTAATAAAAAATAACGCACCTTGCCATGTTTCTGCTTCCATTGCAGATAACTCTAAAGGCACGCAGGATTTGTTGAAGAAGTGCTTGCAGTATTTCAGGGATGCTGCAGAAAGCTATGTGAAGGTAGGCATGGAGTGCCTAGGCACTAAAGACAGTTTAAACAAAAATAAAACTCTGTCTTTACCACTTTTAGTGCAGTGTAGCACAGATGGGGTGTGGAGGGGACCTGAAGACTTAGGGCTATTGCAGTCCCTACACTAGACTGCAGTCCAGTAGGGGGAGGGGACCTGAAGACTTAGGGCTATTGCAGTCCCTACACTAGACTGCAGTCCAGTAGCAAAAATCTGCATCCCTCCCTGAGGATCGAACCTGGGTCTTGCATTAGAGCCCAGCGAGGTAACCATTCAGCCAGCCGCTCCTAAATAAAAACTGCTGTAGCAAATGCAGGGCTGTGTGGGGTTATGTGACTGTCTATGGTTGGTTCCTGTAGTGAGTCTCATTTTCTCCTAGATAAATTATGTCTTAGACAGAATGACGTCAGTAATAAATGTGAGTGGAATATTTTGAGTCTAACTGGGACAGCACGTGAGTTGTAGAGAAAAGGGTGACAGTCAAACTTCACGTGAAGTATAATTATTCACATGTAGAGAAATGCTGACAGTTAAACTTCATGTGAAGTATAATTATTCACGGGGGTCACACAAAAACTGCTGGCCATATGGAATTCGTGGAAATTAAGGAACACGGAGAATTCGGGAGTACGAAGAGGGGCATTAGAAGGCTATATAATGCCTTAGAAAGTGCTGGGAGTCAGTCTCGTTTAGGCCTAGGAAATGAATACATGAAGTATGATGGAGTGTCTGCGGGATCCAGAAAGAGTGTTTAAGTCCGATGGGTCTGCACAGTGTTTTTCCAACGCCTACCTGGCCATCAGTAGAGGCGAACGGAAGTCGTAGCCAGCTGAGAATGTTTGTGTTTTGATCGGATGGAATCGTCATTATTCATTCAATTGTTGGATTGAATGTGTATTATAAGGTAAAGTTGACATGTTAGATAAGTGAGGATAGATATGAGTGACTATGTTGTCCAATAACATTTACAGGCTGCAATACCAGTGAGTGAACAAAATAAACAACTCTGTAAGTGTAATTTAGATCGTTCGCAAGCTTCCATGTTTTCTTGTGTGTTGTCAGTCAGTGAATGCCAGAAGAAGACAACAGAGAGTCATTTCAGTTCCAATTACTTGACCTGTTCAACTTGGGAGGCATAATCCTGGGATCATTCAATTAATCAAGTAACAGAAAGTATTATGAACGGCACTCATAGAAAGAAGTAGAAAGATAGAAGAACACACTAGACAACATAAAAATTGAAAGCTATAGTTACCGTGCCGGGAATTGAACCTGTCACCTCCAGATGGCGTCTGCGCCTCGCCATGAATACAAGTGCACTAAGATACATGGTCAACTCGGCACCCCCAAAAAATGGTGTCTCATTGGCCATGTCTATCGTACAGCTTGAAATCCACGACTATGGAATATGGACAGAATTCATTTCAACCCATTTATTATGTTTATTTATTATGTTATTATGTTTATTTATGGGATCATTCAAAGAACACAAAGTTCCAAGAAGCTTAATTTAAAAAAAAAAAACCCGGTGCAGAGTGAAATATTTTGTGTCCAGTAATTATGTGGAAGTGTTAATTTGTTAATTTATAATCTAACCTTAGAAAAAATAACCCTGTATTAACTGCTTATTAGGTTCATATTATTTCATTTATTTTTATATAGAATTGTTTGTGTCTCGAATGCATAATAAGAAAAAATCAATGCTCCAGGCTCTCCCAGGCAAAGCACTTACCTTGTGCTCTGAAGATCATGGTGTTATTTTAGGAATGCCTTACTCGGTTCATGGATGCCATGTTTTTTAGAAATCCCCATGAAAAAATTGGGGGTGAAGGTGTTAACTGGGGGTATAGATGTCATCCTGGGGGCTGATACTCTAAGGAGGTATCTGCCTATCTGTATCAGAAAGCTGAGCCAGATAGGATACAATCCAATGCAGTGAAGTCAGGTCTAGTGGATAGACGCTTGCCTGCAGATTGGAAGGCTGTGGGTTCTGGTCCTGACGGGGACCGGACTTTTTTTTAAAAATGACCTTGGCTCCCAGGTTAGCCCAGCCTTGAGTAGGTACCAGGTATAATCCTGGAAAGTAAAGGCAGCAGGCATGATGCTGATCACATCACCAACTATTTGGTCTATACAATATAGGTCTAGCCCTATATACCCAGTACGCAGTGAATCCACATCACTCGCCAGAATGGCAGACTTGGTAATTAAGATCGGCACAGCAAAAAACGAGACGCACACCAGACACGCCAGAAGACTTGTTAATCAACATAGAACTGGTACTATTAGCCATCGGACGTTGGGGTTCATACTGAGGGGAGGATCTGAGCACCTATGGACATGTCCAGATAGCAATGAGGATAACCCAACTAACTAACTAACTAACTAATACCCAGTACGTCTGAAGGCGTGGAAATAGGGTCCTTTTCTTTTTCAGCGAAATCAGTCCTTTTATCTGTAATCACATTTTTTAATACTACAGTGTTTTATCAAGGAAATGCATGATTCTTATACAAATCCTGCAATTGATTATGAACAGGACAACAGTGTCAGAAAAGCTCAACATTGTGTCAAGCAAGCAAGACTGTTATCCCTGCAGCTCCAACTGTTGCCTAACGGTGTAAATGTCATTAATTTGAACAGAGATCAAGTGGCAGCCTTTGTCAACAGTCATGGGAGGTTTATTGAGGTCAGATATTGTGTTGTTTATTTGTTCTGCTTCCATAGAATATTATTAACAGTATTTCAGAAGATAACAAGTATCTTATATAACAAATAACTCTCATTAAACATCAGAAAACGAGTACTGAAATGTTATGTCAGGCGAGCCTGTTTTGTTGTATGGCAGTGAATCTTGAATTGTGAACAAATTAAGAAGAGTTTGGAGGTAACTGAATGGGGTTCTTTAGAAGAATATTGCGAATACCTTGGACTGCCAGAATAACTAACAATGATTGCCTGGAAATGGCTAATGAAAGAAGAACATTATATACAACAATAAAAAGGAGACATAATTCTTTGGTCATTTGATGAGAAAAAGAGCACTGGAAAATATCCTGATGACTGGAAAGATCATTGGTATAAGAGGCAGAGGCAGACCAAGAGAAATGATGGTGGATGGCTTAGGACAGTGGCATGGAGGAATATAATCAGTGGAATTGATCAAGAACACCAAAGACCGAGATCTGTGGAGATACATGAACGCCTACGCCAGCTGGCAAGGCACTTGATGATGACACTACATGAACGCTTACGCCAGCTGGCAAGGCACTTGATGATGACACTGAGAAACAGATTAAATGTTTAGAGCATATTTTGTTTAATGCAGTCACCAAAACAATCACTACATCTGAGAAAATTGAAACCTTTACTATTTTTATGCATTTTGTTATCACCTTGTTATGGTTGAATGTGCTTTTTTTCAACTTAAGTGTAAAGTTGGCTAGTTTTCAACTTTTTATTGTAAAATAGCCTTATCAACTTTTTACTGGAAATAGGACAGCACCATATGCTCATTATACCTCAAGGCATGAAAATTTCTCTTTTATTTTTCATTATTTATTTTAAAATGTTTTATCTGTAGTTACATGGCATGAACTTAGTATCTGTTCCCAGTCTCATAGTGATGTTTTTCGGTAGAATATTGTGGTATGCATTAGTGCTTTTGTAACTGCATCTGACTACATACACTGCTGTGGTTATAGTGTTCTGGCCATGTGGGATTCTATCGCGGTACGAGGAAAATTGACCTGCATCTAGAGCATTTTTATGGGGCAGCTTTCAGATCAACAGTTGTATTGAAGATTATGGGTGGATCAAAGCGCCATGATGATGCTTTTGTTAACCACTACGTAACTTCTTCTTCTTCTTCACTCCCTTTTATGTTTTTTTAAACTGCTTCAGGGGTCAGGAAAAGTATAAGGTTCTGCTTCTTATTCTGCTAGGTGCCTTATCCATAGACACATCATACTGTTGTAGAGTTTCTTTGATGTTATCTTTCCGTATTGTTCTTGGTCATCTTTTATGCCACATCTTTCTCTTCTGGTGTATTCCTTGTATGGTATGGCATCACAAAGCATTCTGTCCATATAGGTAAATCATTTTATTTGCCATCTTGTAATTTTGTATTGGTCTGTGCCAACTTTTTCTCTGATTATTACATAGCTTAATCCATTAGTCTCCGCAGATGTGCACTGCCCTTAAATTTGCAATGCATTAGTAATTATTGCTCTTATTGTGTCTCTTAACTTGCCTTTTACCTTAAATCTGGCACATTTTAAGATGTGTTTTTATTGATTATCCTTGTACCAGGCCATGGTCGTATCAGATGCCTATGACAGAAGAGCAGATTGGGCAGAAGCAGTCTACAATAATGTGGTTATTAATGGAGACATGCGATACTTGCAAGAAATGAGGCTTCATGTACACATCACATCAGCCCTAGTTGAAGACGTGGTTAAAAGGTATTGTTGAAAATCATAATTGACACATCATACATTTACCGACTGCAAACTCCAGCAGACAGTTCTCGTTGATCACCCACATCCGGACTTTGGCCTTGCCTTAGGGCTTGAGTTTCGCATAGACATCCGTTTTACAGATCACGCACATTTTTGTGCAGATTTGTTGGTTCCTCAGACATAAGAATGTGCACTCTGATTTATGAGGAAATACCCCTAATTCTTTGTCGGTGTCTATGGCTTAGGCTTTGCGAATGTGCATCGTAATGCCGGGTTACCGGATTTAATTCCAGCTGCGGACAGTTGGTCTTGTTTAAGTTTTGAAAGTGGTACCAAGAGCTGCAGAGGAAGCAGTGGCAAACTACTGAACGGAAAATTTGCCTATAAAAACCACAACAGCCAAAAAAATGCTGGGGTTGGTTCTGCAACATCCTTTAAGGATACACAACCTTCTTAACCCCTAATTACTCAGCTTTTATGACATGCTTGTTGAGGGGGGCAGTGGGCCTATTCTGCCCCCCCCCCCTCCTTCCCCAAATGGGGCCCCCGAACTCATTCAGGGACCCACTGAGTGCCATTTTTTTTTTAGAGCTTTAGAAATTTTTTTTGGCGTGGAGGGGTGTCAGCACATGAACTGATGTATCCTGATGGAGATCACAGATTGTGGAGAGGCATGGTCACCCACGCCTGTGGTCAAGGCACTTGATGATGATGAAATACTTCTTTACTGATTAGGGAAAAAAGTCTTTTACTCACACCTGTATGTTGCTACAGGATAGACACACATCCTAAACATTTCTGCTATTTTATAAATCAGTGAATTGACATTACCTTTCACAGTCTGCTGTGAATGAAAGAATAAATCAGTCAAGAACCACTGCACTTTGAACATTCACACCTATGCTTCCCTCCTGTAAAGTTTACCAGGCACATATGAATTGTAAGAGCCATGTTAACGGAGTGGCTAGATTTCACCTGCCAGCCCAAAGGTCTTGGGCTCAAAGGTTAAAGACTTTTCCCCCTCCACAATTGACCTTTGCTCCCAGGTCGACCCAGCTTAAAATGGTTACCATGTAGTGTCCTCAAAAGTAAAGGCAGGATGTTGATCGCATCACCCATAGAATATCAGTCCCTCCTTAACATCATTATCTTGTTGTGCCATTATGTGTCCCATAAGGCTCACAGGCTATTCCTCCATTCTCTTCTGTCCTGTGCAACCTCTTCGATATCATGTATGGAATCCAGTCCAGTACCTTTGGCCTCTCTCATTAGTAATCATTTTAAGGTTAATTTTGGACGTTTTTATCTCCTTCCGTCCCTTTATTTCCCATTTTAATGCCTTTTTGGTGATTTTCTGTTTCTTTTAAGGATAAGTCCAATATAGCGCTGTCTTCTTTATCTTATAACTTTTGTTACCAGTAATTGCAGAGACATTTCTCTTATTATTTCACTTATCTTAAATTCATCAAATTTTGTGTTCAACATTTTCCTCAGACATTTTTTTTTCAAATGTATTTAGCTTTTGTTCCATGTCTTTATTAGTTCTCTAACTTTCACTATCATATGTTAATATTAAAATCATGTTTGAATTAAAAATTTGTAACTTGGTTTTAAACGTTCAGACTTTATACTCTTTATTTTGTTCAGGTTTGTAGAAGCTGCTGATTCCTTGGAAGTGCATGTTATAATTTGTTTTTTTTTGACTAACAATATAAAAAAAAAAAAAAATAAACACGAAATGATTTGGCATAGAAGAAAAGTCCTTTACTTACTTCCTTTACATATATGATATTTTCTTTTAAAACAATTTCCAGGTATAAACAAGCAACAACAAGAAACAGTGCAGCTCTGACAGCAATAACAAAGCTGCTGACACTGACCAAGGATGTTCAGCTTCAGTACAAACTGGCATCTGAGCTTGGCCTCACTGATGTGATCACGACACTGCTCAAAGGTGACACCGGTTGCTATCTTCAGGATATTATGCCAGTTTTGTAATGTCTAACATTAGTGTGTCGCTTGCATTAGAGCAACTAGCTTCATGTGTCTAGTTTTGCTCATCTGCAGCCCCTATATTTAGGCATGCACAGTTTTGTGAGAGTAGCAAACTTGAAAAAACATAAAATATAACTAATAAATAATAAATATTAGGTTTTTATTGTTGATTCGTTATGAAGCCTTTATTAAAATAGTATGACAGTAGCGATACTGAAGTTTAGCTGAAGGAATTGAGGTGTAAAATAAGTGACTGCACAAGGATGTCATACATCTTAAATATGGCCTTACATGAACACCAGTAATATTATGTTTATCTTGTTGTGTATATGGTGATTTCCTTCTTTCTTTGCATCTCTATGGAGAAAAAATAGATGTTCTTCAACTGCATAACTGAAGAAAAATTATTATAGCCTATTACTTTCTAGATTTGTTATAGGATGACTTAAATTTAGTTGAACATCTCTTATGGGACATCATAAACTTTGTCAGCATCAACACAAATCGGTTTGCAGCTGAATTGAATCCAGGTATGTTGGAATTATAAAACTGCATTCATACACCCAAAGCCACAGATGCTGACAGTTTGACGACGTACATGTTATAAAGCTTATGTATATGTATCTGTTCATTATCATCATCATCCTGCAGAAATTCTGAAATCCTTTGCCAGCTCCTCTGCTTGTTGCATTTTCATGCCCATAATGTTACCTTTGACCTGTGTCCGCTTTTGTTATAGTCAGCCCTAACCTTTTCTTCCAGGAATTATACTTTCCATAACTGTTCTTGAACCTGGCACCATCAGAATGGGACTCTGGCTACTAATAAAATGGACAGGGGACGTTTGAAAATGTCCTAATTCAAGTATTTGATTGATTAATTCATTCACCACTGTACTTTTTAAACTGCTGTGGCATTTAACCCTTTGGAGACTGAGCCTTTTTTGAGTTTCAGTGCCAAAAAGATGGAGCCCTTCAGGAAGGGATTCTCTTAGTTTACATACAAGCATTCACCTAACATATACAAAATGTTCTATATATATTTATATTCGTGTAGGAAATTGAATGAGCTAACAGAATTTTTATGAATTTTACTGAAATCTCAACATTCATTCAAATTAACTTATTCTGATTTGCATAATTTATGCAAGCACCTTTTTTCTCTTTTAAACTTGGCAACAAACATGACTAACCTGAAGAGGTGAATTTCTTTCATGGATGAAACCTGAATAATTCCTAACACTTGTATTTTGGGAATTAAGACGCAACAGTCCTTTTAACTGTTGTTGGGCACAGGTACCCCCCCCCCCCCCCCCTCCTCCAATCTATGTAGAGTTATAGAACATATCAAACTTTGTTGAAAGCTATCATTGAACAGCCCATACGTGCAAGAAATGCAAGAAGCAATCTAATTGGCTGGTACTAAAACCTGACAGCCGATCTCAAGGCTTGTATTAAATAGGGCCAAGCCGTCTTTTTAATCGGCCACGTTGTCTCCAAATGGTTAATATGGTCAGTGTTTTATAGCATCCTTTAAAATGGACGAATATAAAGAAGATCCATCTTTTTCTTCTGTATTTTTCCGTAAAAAGTGGTTGACATGTTGTGCTGTGGTTCACAGCTACGCTGCAATATCTGTGCCTTTCAGCCAAACACATCTGTAGTTTACAGCTATGTACCCATCACGGCCATTTGGCCTCTATTATTTCTTTTTGGTCATGAACTCACATTATCTTTGTAAAATGGTCATTTAGCAAACAGATTAAGCTGTGACCATGGTGGCCTAAATGAAGATGGTGAAGTGAAACCTGAAGACGGATGTTGATTAGAAAAGCCATAGGTATTGTACTGGATTCCACCCTTGATGTCAACAAATAGAGTGCACAGGATAGAAGGTAGAGGAGGAAGAGACTTTGAACTCTAATTTGGTGTATATTCAGTGCAGCAGGATGATGATGATGACAGCATGTTTTGTGTATGTATTAATAATAACTGACGTTATTTTTATTGTTGAATTGTATACATTAATATTTCCCAAAGTTTAACTAAGAGGGGAGGCTCGCTTTCAAATCCAGCTGCGACTCGCTGCAGTCACGGTCGGTGTTCGAAACTGGGCGGTTCCCGGGGTTCACCCAGCCTCTAGGAAATGGGTACCAGAGTGACACTCTGGGGTAAATGGAAGAACGTCGCTGTAGCTGCAGAGTAACGTGCGGACCGCGACACAGGCGGACAGTTTCATATCAGCTGTCCGTACTGGTGGCAGAGCACTTATGGTTTATAACTGGTGCAGTGACGCTGGTTCCCATCTCCCGACTTTACCTTTACAGAAGAAGAAGAATATTCACAATGTTTAATTTATAATTTATGTATGGGAATAGGTGAAAGCTTTGATTTTGGTGATTCTGTGAAATAAATAGTCAGGGAACCATTAAGGCCATAGAAACAGTATTATAAACAAATTTACATGTATCGATCCCCACTCATAGAAATAAATAGAGATAGGAAAACACACTAGACATCAAAATCAAAAGTTAGAGTTGCCATATCAGGAATGGTGAGTGATGCCTAGCAAGTCAGGCGTCTTAATTCTCAAGTTCTTGTAATAAGGCACTTTTGTTATTTGGAGGTGACAGGTTTGATTCCCGGCATTGTAACTATAGCTTTCAATTTGCATGTTGTCTAGTGTGCCCGTCTATTTTTCTACTTATTTCTTTGAGTTTTATTAATACTTGTCTATTTATTTATTATATATACTAACAATACATGTTAATTTGTTTATCAAGTGGTTCAGTAATGAGTATGGTGTGTTTTGTTTGTTCATTTAAAATAATTCACTGTGTTTAAAAACTCTAACCGTTGAACAAAATGTTTAAAAGTAATTTATATTCTGAACAATAAAATACATTATGATCATGTGCTGTTTAATTTTTTACACATAATCATGAAAGTTAAATTACAAAAAGTAAATATATGCAACTAGATACTGTTCTTACAAATGAAGAATGCAAAAAAATTATGATTAAAAAAAAATTTTGATTTTGAAATGTGTAAAAATTATCTTGTTTGATGCTCACCTATCAGTGTACGTGGTTTTAGATTGGATATTTATGGTTGTATAGTTTGATTTGTTATGTGAAACAGCTTAATTTGTTGATAGAACAAATGTGACCTATTGTGATTCCGAAGCAGAACTCCAAGAACTTACTACAAAATTAGAGTCTGTGGTGAATATGGCATGGAAATTAATGCAGAGAGAAAAGCAAGATTCTGGTAAATAGCCACAAAAATCAAGTACCTACCAACAGAGAGACAAAAGGGGAAAAAAACTAGAAGTTAAAACCTTTGAATACTGGCTGCCACATAAGTAACGATGGCATATGTACCAAAGAGATCAAGACAAGACTTGATATGACAACAGCTGCAATGTCTCAGTTGAATATGATGTAGAAGAGCTAAATCGGCATCGCCGTAAAGATCTGTAAATGCATATCCCTGGTATGGTCTATTTTCCTGTTAGAATGTGAGAGCTGGACTCTCACTGTGGAAATGGAAAGGAAGATTCAGACTTACGAAGGTAAATGCTATAGACGCATTTTGTGAATTACTTATTTAGAACATAAAACTAACAAATATGTCTGAGACAAAAATACAAATTGCCAGGAGGAGTCTCTCTTGGCAGTGGTGAAACATCGCAAGCTAGCTTGGTCTGGGCACGTGGTGAGACATGAGTTGATTGCAAAGACTGTACTTCAAGAAACATCGGTGGGGAGGAGTCGAAGAAGAGGTGTGCAAAGAAGAACCTAAAATAACAACATAAAGAAATGGACAGAACTAAGTTATCACACACTTGTTCGTCAAGCGGAAGACAGAGAAAGATGGTGGGTTTTATGTGTTAGTACTTTCGTTGATATACCTCCAGGACCCTAACGGGTCAAGGGTTATATTATGTTATGCTATGTTATGTTATGTTATGTTATGTTATGTATGTGAAACAATTAGATTTGTTGTGTAAAACAATTGGATTTGTTCTGTGAACCAGTTGGATTTGTGTTTTTTTCCTTAACATTTGGATTTGTTCTATGGCACAAACTGATTTTTATGAGTCACATATGTATTTTCATTCTCCTGCTTCCTCACCACCATCTTTCCCTCCAGCACATACTTTTACTCTTCTAAATCAAGGAGCCAGTATTTGGAACCAGTGATGAGAAGCCAGTTATGAGAAGCCAGTTATAACATATTACTGTGAATTCTGGACAATTAATAAACAAGCTGAACAATTTCTTGAATTCTTGGAAATGTGGTTTTACAGAATAATTCTTAGAAATTCTTGGTCAGCCAAAAAAGAGTAGCCTAGTTGTTTTGAAAGAGGCAAGAAGACAACTTATGACAAATGTCAGAAAGAGACAGTGCTAATTTTTTAGTCTTATTATGAGAACAAAACTAGAGCATGATGTGTCCACTGGAAAGATCTGTGAAAAATGAGACAGGAAGACAAAATGAGTAGATTCTCAACAGTCTTTTGTCATGGCATTGGGGGAAAAAGGCCCGGGGAGGGGGGGGGGGGGTGAGCCCATGAACTGATACATGCTGTTGAATATCTCATTTGTGGAGAGGCATGATCGCCCACTTGATAATGAGGAATAGGAAGCCAGAGCTCACCCATGTGTGGTATCAGTAACGCTAGTTCCTCGTGTACTTTCTCATGACCCGTTGTTGGAAAGACAAGAATAGACCCACTGACTCCCCAAAAAGCATATCATAAGAGTTGACTAACTGGATGCTTTCTTTGAAGTTGAAGTGCATCTGTCTGTGAAACCAACGGTCTGCATATAAATTTCAGATATGTAAAACAAATGTGCACTCAACACTCACATTATGGAATAAGACTTCTTCTTTTTCATGATCATCGGCTGTAAACTCCGGCAGAAAGTTCTGGCTGTTCGCCCACTTCTGGACTCTAGTCCTGTTCCAGAAACTGAGTTGTTGCGTGTAAATCT